ATTAAGCCTACTTGCTTAGCATACAGACAAAAAGAAAAATGTAGAAAAGGTACTAATTTCCTAGCCTCATATTTTTCCATATCTTGCCCCAGCATGGAAGATTCTAATGGTTTCCTATGTGTAACTTGAGCACGGACTTGGCTTATGATAGGCATATTAATGGCTTCTTCTGATGAAGGCTCAGCTGTCCTCACCTACTGTTATGGGAGGGAAAAGGGGGATCACATGTGTTATAGAGTATCACCATCGTAAGACAAATGTGATACCAAAGCTGAAGCTCCAATCTGTGTAAAGGACTGAGATCTTTAATGGGGTTCCCCCAACCTAACTACCCTCCATTAGAGGAAAATCAGTTTCTGACCAAATCTGCTCTCCCAAAGCCTAGTTAATGAAAATGTGTATGCAAGGCAAGGGGGAATGTCTGTCTCTCAGGAGCTTCTTTCCCTTCAAGACCCAGACAGACACGGGGGAACTTAATGATTGCTGTCTCAATATTTATCTTTTGCTTCAAAATACAACTTTAGAAAAAAAGAATATGTGTCAAGTTAGGTCCTGTAAATAGTAACAGTATGGTATATATTTATTCATAATTTTTAGTCAAAACTTTTGGTCTCTGAGGGCCTATTATTTATGTTATTTAACTGCCTGTGTATTTTTTACAAGACATAAAAATTGCTTTTGGGACATATCACATATCTGGGATGGAAATTATTTCACTTTTTTAGTTCAACACTGAAGTTAGATTTTATATCAGGAAATATAAAAATATCTTCTGCTCTGCTCAGTTGAATGTTCATTTTTTTCCTCATAGCATCATGTTTTTTTCCTTTTCTTTATAATTAAGACAGTTCATCATATACATAAAAGTCACATACATGAAGGCACACACATACTCAAATGTACTTGTCTTAGATATTTTCCTAGGTTCAGTTGGGTTTATTAATATAGAAATATTAACAGGTAAAAATAAAGTAGTAATTGTTACAAGGATTGTTATAAGGCCTGTCACTCTGGAAGGCCACATTTGTGCCTCCAGAGTCCAGCACATTTTAAAGAAGTATGAATTTGAAAATATTTGGAGACAAGTATGCTATCTTCATGACCCCTGAAAACATTTGAGTTTCACAGATGATAAGATTTGTCAGCATTTCTGAGTATTTATTTGTGTCATATTATTGAAATTAAAATTTGACAACAGCATGTGAACTAAATAGGTTACCACTTTTTAATGTAATAGAGAACAACAAAGTATTTATATTATGTCTTAGGCACTTATTTTTAAAACCTCATCCACTTTTAGCATGCAATTAATTATGCATTGAAAAGGTTTAGGAAATATAAAAGGAGCTGAAATTACTTAAAATATAGATTATAGAAAATACTAATAAATAGATGAAATAAATATATTTACGATGCAAAGAACAACAGATAATATTGATGAAAGAATATTTGGAAATGGAAAGTAAAACACTAGATTAGAAGGTTGTAATTAATATAAATAACTCTTTGGAATGAAAAATGTATTTCAGCTGAGTATTTTTGCACTGAAAGATATTGGGGCTATAGCACGTTAAATATGTATAGTAATATATTATTAATAATTATTAAGACCATGTACTAACACCTATCAAGATAAATAGCACCAGCCATAGTCATATATTTTTGGGGATGTTATTTATTATTTATTGGATCCCCTTTTACCCACAATGTAGTACAAATTTCATGAGGGTAAGAGTGTCTGCTTTGTCACTATGACAAAGTACTTGGTACTTAGCACATCATTTGTCATATTAAAGGTGCTCAGTGAATATTTGTTACAAGAGTGGCCAGACTGCAAGTTCAGTTGACAGATCTGTGGTTCATTTGAGCCTATTAATCATATTAAAATATTGCACAAATAATGCTTTATAGATAGAAGTGATTACTTTGCTGAAACGGAGGTATCAGATGGCACAGACTGTGCATGGACTGAAAGTATTTATCCATCAGCTGATTATGAAATCTAAACTTGTCACGTGAAAAAGTGATTTAAGACTTTTAAAGCCGGGCGCCGTGGCTCACTCGCATAATTCCAACACTGTGGGAGGCTGAGGTGAGTGGATTATTTGAGGTTAGGAGTTTGAGACCAGCCTGGACAACATGGTGAAACCCTGCCGCTACTAAAAGTACAAAATTTAGCCTGGCATGGTGGTGGATGCCTGTACTCCCAGCTACTCGGGAGGCTGAGGCAGGAGAATCGCTTGAACCCAGGAGGTGAAGGTGAAGGTTGCAGTGAGCCGAGATTGTGCCACCACACTCCAGCCTGGGGGATACAGTGAGACTCTGTCTGAAAAAAAAAAGAAAAAAATAAAGAAAAAAAAAAGACTTTTAAGTCCCAACTTGGCATATGAAAAATAAAAATGATTTGAAAGAGTAAACTACAATGTTTGAAAATGTAAATTTTAAATCAGACTGTATCATTGACGATCACCTGTGGTTGAAGCAAGTGATAATAAAGGCCTGGTGTATAGCATGAGATTGGGAATAGTCTCATGAATAAAACTGGTGGGTCACTGGGATTGGCAGCTAGAGAAAAGGAGGAGAAGAGACAGAAGATTCTAACCTGGTTAAGTTTGAGGTTAATGGTGCCATTGACTTTTCTAGGCATAGAGGAGAAGAAATAGATTTGGGGATAAATTATGAAATCCACTTGGATACTGGGCATGGTGGCTCACACCTATAATCCCAGGACTTCAGGAGGCCATGGTGGGGATGGATCACTTGAGGCCACGAGTTCCAGACCAGCCTGGGCAACATGGTGAAACCCCATCTCTACTGAAAATACAGACACACACACACACACACACACACACACACACACACCATTAACCAGGTGTGGTGGCTCATGCCAGTAGTCCCAGCTACTCAGGAGGCTGAGGCACCAGAATCGCTTGAGGTGGAGGTTACAGTGAGTCGAGATTATGCCACTGCACTCCAGCCTGGGCAACTGAGTGAGACTCTGTCTCAAAAAAAAAAAAAAAAAAAAAAAAAAAAGACAAAAACGAAAAATGTATTTGGGATGTACTGACTTTGAGGTGCTTATGGGCATTCTATTGTCAAAATTATTCATTTATTAGTTTATCCAAATTTTGCTGCTCACTTGCTGAAACTTTTACTCACACTAGAGAAAGAAAAAAATTGCACAAAAACACCTTTTGCTCATCTTTACTAAATACAGGTTGTTGTGGAACAATTCTTAATCTCAGTCTAAAACCTATCTTCTGCAGGTAATACATAATGGACTTTCTAAAGCAAACTGATTTTCAGATGTAATGCCACAGATAACACAAGATTAAGCATCCATTTCTTTTTAAAGTTAATCAGGTTTCAATCTTCAGGGGAAATTAAGTTTCCTCTTCACTGGGTAGATTAGAAAATGGTGAGTTGTTTTCTAAATAAGAAGGATCAAATTAGTCAGTTTTGCTACACCGGGAAATCCAGCTCCCATGGGATAGTTGTGACCCTGAAAGTAGGTTATCCTGGAGACGAGGGATCAGGTGTAACTAAGTGAACAACAGCCAGCCTCCATCCAAGCAAGAGCCCACACTCACAAAGAAGGAACAGTTGCTGATGCCTTTATGGCAAAGATTAAAAAGCAAAACGAAAAAAAAACAAAAAAAACATTTTAGATGTATATTAATTTACTTAATCCTCATAACAACTCTGAGATATTATCATGCCCATTTTACAGACGAGCAAATGGAGGCACAAAGAGATGAAATAATGTGGCCAAGGTTACATGCTAGTAAGTTGCTGATCTGGAATTTTAACCCAGAAAGTCCTGTCTCCAGCGTCTATGATTTTACCCACTACACTATACTTCTTAAGCATGTCAAGAAAGTGAGAACTTTAAGTTGATTTAATTAGACTAGCTCTGAAAGTCTGAAAATAAAATTGATTCATTGGAAACTTCATCAGCCCTTATTTTGGGGGATATTCAATTTAGTGAAATTTAATATTTCAGTAAAGGTTAATTCACTACATAAAACAATGTGATTTCTTTCCTTTGAAGCACAGTTTAGTATTGTGATCAAGATTTCCCTGAGTCTCCCAGCGGTCTGAATTGGGGTACATCACTTCACTACCCCTTGACTCAAATTCCGTATTTATAAAACAGGTAAATATTGGTATTACCTTTTAAGAGTGTTGTGAGGATACGCAGATTTTTTTAAAAGCAGTTAAAGCCTTTAAACAGTAATTGTAAGCATTTGTCATAATTATGCCTTTGTTAGACTTCTAGGTCAATGAATCAGAACATTTAAATCCCAATGTTTGATTACAAAATCTGGTAACAGATGGCTGAAAAGGAACCTAGAATGGGTTTACTCTCCAGGAATTCACATTTAACTATTCTTTCCAAAGTCCCCTCTATTAACTCCTGTTCTATGAAGCGATACGAAAAGATGAGGTATTAATTTTCTTTCTTAAATGTTTGAAGGCATAGTTGGTGTTGGTGAAGGGAGATGAGGAAGACAGATGTACTTTCTTATGAGATACTAAAACCTGGAAGACAATAAAAACGCAGATCAAATAATAAAAAGCGTTACCTATGGCGGAAAAGGAAGTTCAAATGTTCTTGTCAGGGGAAAATGAGGACACAAAAACTGAAAGAGGGCACAAAACAATTGCAGGGGTGATATGCATTAGGATTGTTAGGGATAATTTCTGCGCCCAAGGCTCTTATTAGTAATGAAATACGGTGTGAGGAGCTGAGATTCGTTCTGCAGTCTCAAAGAGTCAGTCGGAAAGTAATCCCTCCCTTGCCATAGAAACAGAACCGAACTGGCAGCGCGATTACACCTAAGACAAGCGGCAACCTCATTTCCGTGTAGGCACGCCCCTTTTATCTCAACCACGCCTCTTCATTCCCTAAGCACTTCGTAAGCAAAGGGAATATCGCGAGAACCCTATATTGTCTCTCTTCTGACGTTTTCAGCCATGATAGTCGCTTTTGTTCTCGCGGTATTTCCGGGTACGCGGGAGCCCCGGCGACCCGGGCTTCTGTGAAACATGGCGGTAGGCTGGGACCGTAACACAAGGTAAAATACTGAAACCCCGCTGGATGCTGTTCCCTGAATTGTTCCAGGGCTGCTTAGGGCATAAATGCAGTTGAGGAAAGAGGGAGACTGTCATGGGCTTGGCTTCCTGTCTTCATTGATCTCTGGAGAGCGGGTCGGACGGAGAAGCCTCTCCACCTCCCCCGGGGGCGTTACTGGCAGGACCCTAGGCAAAGATGCTACTGGGAGCTTCCCTTTGCCAGGACCGGGTGCTCGTGTGCTGTCTTGCAACTCGAAGGAGTTCAGGTGCTTCCTCGATGGCCCCTGGTTCTGACCTTTTGCTTCTCACACTGCGCGGTTCCCCGGTGGCTTCTCCAGTCCGCAGGCGGGTAGGATCCCAGTCGGTCGAGTCCCAGTCCTCCCGGATGTCAGACTCCCTACCCCGATTCAGACAAATACCACATTCGTGGCAGCACGTTGCCCTCTGTCTCATTTTTAAGAGTCTTGGCCTCTCCTGAAAGGAGTTTCGCACAGTGCCTCGGAAAATGAGAAAGGGGCAGGAGAGGGCGAGATGCTGAGAGACAGGTACGACTGTCACCACTTTTCCCCCGCACAGAAAACCCTCCGAAGGCAACGTGTCAACTCGTGGTGAATAGCCTTGGTTATCGGTAGTATATAGAGTTGACAGGTCGTTGTTTGAGAAAACACGTTTAAATAACTTTGATATTTTAGTGCACCCGAGACTTGAAGACAAAGTGACATAATAGCTGTTAAAATGTTGCCAGACTGGTTTTCAGAAGCAATGAAAGTTACAGTTAAAAACAGGATTTATTCATTTGAAGTTGTAATTCAGTATTTCAATTAATTGCCTAGCCTGATACATTGGACTGTAGTATACCGCAATTATAAAGAACGAAAAAAGACTTATGGTTCACTGAAAAAAGACTTATGGTTATTTACCTAATTTGTTTGTTGATATCTTTAAGTTGTAATTATGCCAGTTCTAGTGGAAAACATGAGGGAAAAAATTCTGTTTTTTTGGGAGGGTGGGGGTTGGCGGTGCAGGGATGGATAGAGAGAGGAATTTTTTTTTTTTTTTTAAATAATAGTGAACTTTAGTGTACAGTTGCGTGTTATAATGGCTTCCTGGTACAAATCATAAAAATATATCAAGTTTGAAAGATCTCTCGAAGGAAATCAGGCCTATTCTGGAACAACAACAGTTGGGGAAACAACAGCAACAACCCACACATTTCCTTTCTTTGGGGGTTGATGATTTAAGTGAAAGAAGTGGCTATTTTTTTTTTTTTTCTTTACTAGAAATTACTTTTAGGCAGTCAATGCCTGCTAAAAATCCTATTTAACAGTTTCCCAATATTTATTATAATTCTGCCTCTTAATGTCATAGTGGTCAAATTATTTAACCTCTTCGTTCCCTCATCGGCCAAATGAAATAATAATACCTAACTTACAGGAAGGTTGTGAGGATTAAATGTGTTGAAATATACGAAGCATTTAGAACAATAACTGGCACACAGTAAGCACTCTATGCATGTTAGCTCTTGTTATTTTTTATTTTCATTTTCTAGTATCTGTAGTTACAAATGTTGCCTTGTTACTTAGTCAAAATGTAGACTGAAGAAGATACTGTTTAAAGTAATATCTTTCTGAACCGCAGATTAATTAAACACTCTGATTGGTGTGGTTAATGTGTCCTTAAACGCCCATCATCCAGTTGCTTGTTTTCTTAAATTATTATCCTCTTTTAATAACTGAAGCATAAGTTCTTCCTTTCTACTGCTCTGTGTAGTCACATCGTAGTGTGGCTCAGATCTACCCTCTGAGTGCCTCGTTAACCCCATACTCTTTGGTTTTGAGAACATTCATTCTGTTGTAAATATATTTCATGTGTCCCTGACCTTTTCCTTAACACTTTTTAACTTTAATTTTCTATACTTTTATTGAGAGCTACTATAGTCTAGTTCTTTTAGGAGGATCGTATTTGTCCTTGCTTCACATTGCTTCTAGGCACTTTGAGAGTATTCTATTATCACTCTATAGTCTCTCTTAACTTTTAGTCTATCAGTTCATGCCATTCTAACTTTAGGAGATTATCAACTAATCTCAGATAACTCTCCCACTTTCCTCAAAGAGTTTAACAAGTAAATCTCAAATATCCTACAAATCTTTGCTTTTTTTCAGAGAATTAGAAATAGATATTACATGCCTCATTTTTATCTTGATTAAACACTGTGAGGTAGCCATTATGTCCTGCTCCCCATCTTTTAAAATAAAATTATAGAGAGAGGGTTCTGAGAAGTTGAGGATCTTTCCACACTTGTCACACAACTAGTAAGTGCCTAGGTAATCAGGGTTTTCTGATTATAAACTCACGTTTATATTGTCTTCCTTGGCTTCCAAGTAAACCTTTTTGTCACTTAGAATGTCATTAGATTTATTTGAATTATGTTGCGGTAAACAAATATAATGTTTAACTCTGTTGTAAAAGGTCCAAATTTTAAGGTAAAAGTAAGTACAATTGAGGGGGGTGGGGGGTTGCTATCTAGTATTTGTAAAGCAAAGCTAAGCTATCTTATAAAATGTTTTTTATTGTAAAGTATTCTAATGCAATATGATCAAGTAATTTAAAATTACAGATAGGTTTTAGTTTTACCTTTTATTTCTGAAATTCAGCGATGGCCTGAATTATATGGCCTGTATTAGTTTCCTGGGGCTGCTGTAATAACTTACCATAAACTGGGAGGCTTAAACAAAAGACATTTATTCTCTCACAGTTCTGGAGGCTAGAAGTCTGAAATCAAGGTGTCAGCAAGACTTGAAGACTCTAGGAAAGAATCCTTCTTTGACTCTTCCTGGCTTCTGGGCAGTCCTTGCTGTGCTTGGGTTTGTAGACACATCACTGTAGTCTCTGCCTTTGTCTTCACATGGCATTTTCCCTTGTGTTTCTGTGTGTCTTCACATGACCTTCTTAAAAGGACACCAGCCATCAGATTTTGGAACACCCTGATGCAGTATGATCTCATCTTAATTAGTTATATCTGAAAGACCCAAATATTTCCAAATAAGGCCCATTCATAGATACCAGAGGTTGAGACTTCAACATACCTTGTTCAGCATATGAAGATGTGAGTTAACACAGTTCAGACCGCACCTTGGCCATGTGTATTAACCAATTAAATTTTTCTCATATTGCCAAATATATATTAAAAATTTCTGTTAACTCAAAACTTGGGTAGCAGGAAATAACTTTTGTCTTCATTTTTCTTTGGAGAAGTAATTAAACTTAATTGGGAGACTCTAAAAAGTTCATGAATTCTGTATTTTAATTTTGGTAAAGCATCTGATAGTCTCATTATATTCAGATGGATACAATGATGAAGTATAGACTGTGTGACTTTACTCACACTGAGTGTTGATAATGTCTGTGTTCCAACATGAAAGGTAGTCTCTTATGTCTTATGAAGTTTTTCAAAATACAGTCACCCCTCCATATCTGTGGATTCTGCATCTGTGGACTCAACCAATTGCAGATTGAAAATATTCAAAAAGGAAAAATTGCATGCCTACTGAACAAGTATTGTGTCTATACTGAATACTTACAGACTCCTTTCTTTTCATTATTTCCTAAACAGTACAACTATTTACATAGCATTTACATTATATTACGTTTTATAAGTAGTCTAAAGATGATTTAAAGTGTACAACAGGATGTGCATAGGTTATATGCAAAAACTACACCATTTTATGTCAGGGACATGAGCATCTGAGAATTTTGATATCCAAGGGAGGTCCTGGAACCAATACCCCATGGATACTGAGGGACGACTGTCTTGTCTTAGCTCCAGCTGTTTTCAGTGACTTTCTGGAATTTATGTTTGTTTTGTTTTTTAATATTCAAGGCAGTTTAAGGAGAGACATCAGAGAAAACAGACATAGTACTGGAGATTGTCAAGGTGTGAATAGTGGCACCAACCAGTGGTCAAAGGAATCTGATCTAGAATTACATTTTTTAATTTTGCTGAATAAACACAGCCAAAAACTAAACAACCTCTGTTATATCTGTTTTATCATTTCATAAAGGAAAGGCTGTTTTGACACAAAAAGGAAGAAAATAATCTCACAATAAAGGACACATTTTAAAATTGAATAAATTTAGCTTTAAAAGTTCTTTTCTACATTGTCTGTGACTAGAAAATTTTGTCACCGAACAGCAATGATTTCTGGCAAGCGTTGATGATCTGAGGTATTTCCAAACACATTTTTGAAACTGGCTTACCACACTGAGTAGAGAGGCAAATAGAGTGGGAATGGGAGCAATGAAATTGGGTATCTGTAGGATGTAAAGGATTTGAGAACACCAGTGAAAATGAAGGGCAGATTTATCTTAGGAAAGAGTTTAAAGGATAGTTCCTACTGAAGGAAGTCAGTGTGTTTTGGGGTTTAGAGGTGGAACAGTTTTAAGGGTTGACCTTTCTCATGGGTGGCTTTCCATAGAATTAAGATGGAGATCACAAGAGTAGAAGCGCTTGTGGTGAAAAGGTTTTATTGTGAATGAATGCTATAGGATGAATGCCATCGGAGCATGAATTCCAAAGGATGATAATGGAATGGGGGAGAATCATATTGAATGATCTGGGTGCTGAAGTCATTAAGGAAATTACGAATATATTCAGACGTTAATGGAGTGTAGCGACAAGTACAGAAGTTAGTCAGTGTGCACTGTGGTTTAGAGCATAGTTTCAAGTTCTACCACCTGCTATGTAACCTGGGAAAATTATTTGACAGTTCTGTGCCTCATTTCCTCATCAGAAAGTGGGATTAAAAATAGTATCTGCTTCACGGTTGAGAAATATGGTAAAACATGACACTTCTGTAACCTGTGAGTCTCAGAAATGAGTAAGGATTGGAATGGAACTGCCACCAACAGAAAGTCAGGTTTTATAAAGAGAGCAGATAGAGCAATTTCTTTTAGAAAAGCTAGAAGTTATTGGATACCTTGTTTATGCCAGACAGTGACTTTTACAGTAGGCTGGCAAGTATTCAAAATGGAATGAATTTCTTGGGGGTGGGTTAGTGCTGAGCTTTCAGGAATGGGACTGGTGGAGTAGCTGAGGGTTAGGGTGCTCCATGCTAGAGTCATATCCACTGGAAAATAGGGATGAACGAAGCTAGAGATGTGTAGGGAGCCACATAATATATTCCAGCTGGACTTTCAAGGGAGGAGTGTTGAATAGGTTGTATGTATTATTAGGAGATTAGTAAAACTAGCTGCTTGTATATCTTCATCCTTATATATAAATTAAAAGAGCATTTAGAAAGCTCATTATACAAATACAGCATTATAGAAACTTTTAGAAATATAATTCACTGTTTTATTCATTTAACAGTGTTATACTGACTATGTGATGGCCACTGTTCTAGGTCCTGGGACAGAGGACAACAGAAAAATCCTTCTTGTGGATCTTATTTTTATTTTTATATATTTGCTTACCTAAGTATGACATACTGCTGTGATTTGAAAGATGTGCTTCTGTGGTGGTTCTGGGAAATTTTCCTTCCTTCCTTTTCTCATAAATGTTGAATACCTGTTTGCTAGGCATTAGAAATACAAAGATCAAGTTAGACATGGTTCCTGCTCTAACAGTCCAGTGGGGGGAACAGAAAAAGAAGCAATTAGAAATAGTGTGATAAAGGTACAACGTTCTAGGAGCAGATAGACTTTGAAGACCATGCAAAGGTTTTTTGTCCCCCTGCTCGCTCAAGGTAGAAATGAGTAGACTGGGCCTTGAAGAGTAAGTAGGAGTTAGTCAAATGTAGAGATGGGGTAGGGAGAAGAAAAAATATTTCTGGCAGAGAGAATAGCATATTTAAGGAATTGAAAGTGATTTAGTATGGTTGGAACGTAGACTGTGAGGGATTGGATTTGAAGAGAGGTTAGCAGGACCTGGTGTTTGAAGGGCTTTGTAAAACATGTTAGGATAGAATCCAAGCTCTTACGTGTAGTGGGAAGGGAAGTTTTACAAAGATTTGAAGAGAAATATTATATGATCAGATTTATGTATTAAAAAGATTATTATTATAGTATATAGAGAGAATTGGAAGGTTGAAGATTAGAGGTTGTTGAAGCAATGTAGTGATAGATTGTGGCAGTTGGGACTGGGAATGTACTTGGACATAAGGAATTTCTTAGTGGGCCTGAAGAAGAGAAGACAGGCAGATTTAAGAGAAATTTAGAAATAGCTTAAGTCTAAGGCTGTAACCCATGTTTCTGGCTTGTGTAGTTGAGCTTATGGTGTTATCACTAAGATAGGAGATACAGGAGGAATAATTTGGACAGGGTAAAGTATTCATTTTTGGACTTGTTGAGTCTGAATTGTGTTTGGAATGTCCAAATGAAAAGGTAACAGAAGGCAGGGGGTTATACATATCTGCAGAGAGATTTGGGCTGAGAGTCAAGATTTGGGAGAAATCAACATGCAGATTGAATTGGAAGGAACGGGCCATCATTTGGGAAAGGTGTGGAGGTTAAGAAGGGGACCTAGTGCAGAATCTTGAGAGGAAGATGAATCTGCAAAGTAAGCCAAAGAGGGACTTCCAGGTAGAATGAAAATCAGGAATGTGATATCACTTAAGAGAATATTTCAAGAAGTAAAAGAAGTGATAAGCAGTGTATTTTCTCAGAGGTGTAGTTAGATAAGGACTGAGGAGTGTCTGTCAGTTAGTACTAAGGAAGCTAATTACCTTGCTCAGAGCAAATTTAGTTAAGAGGTGAGAGTTGGGCGAGGAAGTAGTCACAGTAGATGAATGGGGACAACTCATTCTTTTAAGTTGGCTGTACGTGTGCTGCCAGAGATGTATTGTTGGAGTTGGACTTGTCTTTAAGGGAGAGTTCTGTTTTAAAGAGAAGAGACATACAGATATTTAATATTTTACTCAAATCAGAAAAAGTAGAAATTGAAAGATTGAAGAAGGGTCAGTTTTTGTGCAATTACTACTAAAAAGGTACAGAAAATAAATTTGATCATCAGCCAAACAAGCTTAATGAGCATGGTATATACATAGCAAACATTCAGAAGCTTAATTTATCAGTGGGAATACCAGTTTTATAACTGACATGGGGGCAGAAACTGTCATCTGTTTTGTCTACATCATCTGTTTTTTTCTTTAGAATACTAAGTGCATGAGAAAAAATCGTAATTCTAAGGCTGCTTTGTGAGTGTGGAACCAGCAAGGGAAGTTTAGTTGGGTGGCTTTAATGGCAGAGGAAATCAACATATTAATGCTTTCAGCTCCACTTTAGAGTAGTAGCTCCCTGCTGGACTGATAAGTAGAGCTCCTGGTCAGAACTTCCTTCTTTTAGACAGTATTCATGTTTACTGCCGGTTTTTCATTCTCTGGCCCTTCTTTTTCTTTATGAATGTTCTTTCTTTAGCCTATTCTTTTTATATTAATCCTACCCATTAGATTTCAGATCCAGAGTCTGTCTGCTCTCTTCCAGAGACATTATTTCTCTTACAGTGACTTCTGCAACTGTACAATTTGTTGTATTATGTGTTGATTTTATTAATAAAGCCTTGATTACTGGGAATTCTTTATAATATTACCTGGAGTATTATTTATAAATCAGTTATAAAAATTATGTAAAGATCTAAGATTTCAGTTATTTGATTGGCTTTATAACAATTTTAGATGTAGATGACATACTGATAAAAAGGGAATAGCAAGCAGCCAATTTTTAAATAATGTTTTGATTATAAAAATAGATAACATGGTAAATCTGAAGTTATAGGTAAGCAATTAAAATTCATGATCTACTTTTAACATTTTTGTGTATAGATGTTCAGTTTTGTTTCTTATATATCGTTTCCTGTCTCCCATAAAATTGGAACCTATGTGACCTTGTAGTCTTTTCGTGTTGTATCATGACTATTTTCTTATATCATTAATTTTTTTTTTTTTTTTAAATAAAAGATTTCAGGCCAGGTGTGGTGGCTCACGCCTGTAATCCCAGCACTTTTTTTGGGAGGCCGAGGTGGGTGGAAGGCTTCAGCCCACGAGTTTGAGACCAGCCTGGGCAACATGGGGAAACTCTGTCTCTACAAAAAATATAAAAATTTGCTGGGGGTGGAGGTGCATGCCTATAGTCCCAGCTATTTGGAAGGCTGAGGCAAGGAGGATTGCTTGAGCCAGGGAGGCTGAGGTTGTGGTGAGCTGAGATCACGCCACTGCACTCCAGCCTGGGTGACAGAGCAAGATCCTATCTCAAAAAGATTTTCAATGGTTACATGAAGATGCATTTCTTCACCTTAATTTGTACATTGGATACCATGGGTTTGTTTCTGTCTTCAGTATTTAAAAATAACACTGTGAGAAATATCCTCATAATCAATTTTTGGTTAAAACCCCAGGTTATTGTCATAGGATACATTCCTCAGCGGGCATTTACTTAGAAGAAGAGTGGTAAATATTTTCTTCTTCTTTGTTCTTCTTTCTTCTTTCTTCTTCTTCCTTCCTCCTTCCTCCTTCCTCCTTCCTTCTTCTTTCTTCTTCTTCTTATTATTTGAGATGGAGTCTCACTCTGTAACCCAGACTGGAGTGCAGTGGCACAATCTTGGCTTACTGCAACCTCCGCCTTCAAGTGATTCTCCTGCCTCAACCTCCCGGGTAGCTGGGACTACAGGCACGTGCCACCACACCTGGCTAATTTTTTGTATTTTTAGTAGAGACGGGGTTTTGCCATGTTGGTCATACTGGTCTCTCAAACTCCTGACCTCAGGTAATCCACCTGCCTCAGCCTCCCAAAGTGCTGTGATTACAGGCGTGAGCGACCATGCCCGGCCTATATTCTTGTTAGTAATGTATGAGCAGGCCATTTTACTTCACTGTCATTCATTATTGGAAGTGTATTATTTTTATATAGTTTTCGGTTTAATAGAAAACGTTATCTTAGTTTGTGTATTTAGACATTATTAATGTGATTTAATTACTTTTCACTTTTTTCCTGCTATTTAATATGTTTTTGTATTTAAATTGCCTTCCATTAGTAGTTTTTGTCAGGGCATGAATGGGGAGAGGAGTAGTGTGGATAAATACTATGTTTTTTTAAGGGGGGGTGAGAATGCTAAGTTGTTGTAAGGACATTTGTCAGTTATCCTAAATTTAAAGATATTAAAAAAGAGAAATTTTTTCTCTTTAAAGGATTCATTTATTCATTAATTTATTTATTCCTTAGCATGACTATATGAAGGAAGAGGAAGGTTTTCCTGAAGATGAGGCGACTGAATCGGAAAAAAACTTTAAATTTGGTAAAAGAGTTGGATGCCTTTCCGAAGGTTCCTGAGAGCTATGTAGAGACTTCAGCCAGTGGAGGTACAGGTGAGTATCAGTTCACATTAAAAGTCCTGTAGTAAGTACAACTTCTGAGTGATCCAGTCAACAACATATAGAAATGTAGCCATGACGTAGAATTTATCAGTGAATTCTGTAGTAACTTCGTAACTTGTCTGTCTTCATGCCACTCTATTGGCTCTCATTTATTCTTATTAATATTCTTTATAGCTTCCAACTCAGTGCCATCTGTGCCTTTGGCAGTGTTTATTAAAACATTAATACATTAAACCAGTGTTACTACTTTGCTGCCCTTTCCTAAATATGTGACCTTGAGGAAGTTATTCAAATCTATCTATCTTAGTTTCTTCTATGAAATAGGAATGATACTAGTATTTACCTCCTAGGGGTTGCCGTACTGTTAATATTTTCATAAAATACTTAGACCCAGTGCTTGGTACAGATAAAAGTATCCATTAAGTAAAATAAATAATGAAATATATAAGAGAAATGTGTAACTATAACAATATTCAGTATAATTTCTTTTCCCATGAAGAGCTAGTAAAATAATGTATTTCAAATTAGGTTGACATTTTATTTTGTAAAATGGGTAATAAGTTGCTTACTATTTCTGATTCACTTGTTACTAAGTTTTGTTAATGAAAATAGTGCAAGTTCTTGCAAAATCTATTTTAAGTATTTTGCTGTACTACATAATATATTTTCTTTTTGTCAGATCTTTTACTCAGTTCTGTAAATGAGGTGATATATTTAGGAGATTGCAAAGTAAAAGAGAGTTTTGTTAGCTACTTAGAGATGTTATTTGAGTTTCTGGCACACAGATTGTTGTGGTTTCTCAGGATCTGAGAAATTAGGCTAGCTTTTTGTTTTAAATTGGGCTTATAGCCCAATTTACATACATTGATATACAATTTATATTTATAGACATGGATGCATTTTTAATAACGAAGCAACTGTTTCCAAATTTGTACTATAAGGCATGCTTACTTTCATCATTTATCCTGTCAGTGACACTGCTGTATATAAGAAAATACAAATTTTGTCAAATCTACTTAGTGAGAGATGCCCTTAAAATTGGAGAAATAAAATGCTTTCTTAGTAGTGCAAATGATTATGTTCATTTTTGTGTATATTAAACCTTAACTTTTGAGCTGTATTAGGTAAAATGTATAATAAACATTTTGAATAAAAACCTTCTATAGTATTCATTCAAATAGAAATTACATTATTAGGCTTTTTCTTTTGAAAATTTAATCTCACTTAAATTAGTTTCCTGTTCTTTGCTTTTTTTTTATTGTTTTAATTCTGTTTTTCTTTTGTTGTTGGATTTCTCAGTTTCTCTAATAGCATTTACAACTATGGCTTTATTAACCATAATGGAATTCTCAGTATATCAAGATACATGGATGAAGTATGAATACGAAGTAGACAAGGATTTTTCTAGGTAATCATTTTTTTTCTTCTTGAAATACCTTTAGATTCAAATTGTTTTAAAAAGAGCATACCTTTTAAAAAAGAAAAAGTATAACCTTCTAGATTTGGTTTGTTTTAGTTCTGAAGAAATCATCCTGAAAAATTCTCATTAATTGCATGCATTAAGTGAAACCTTTTAGAATCATTTGAATAGTGGTTGAATTCTAAAACTGAGGTTCTTTGATTTAGCATGCTTTGTTTCAGAAAGTTAGGGGAATATTTTTCCTTAGATATGTATATTGTGGAAATTGTTTAATATTTTAAACTGGTTGAAATACCTAACCGATCTGTGTGAGCTGGAAAATAAATTACCTAAGGATACATTGTATACCCTTATGACTTGATATCTATAAATTATACCAAAGCCAAATGTTTATGCAAATAAGATTACTTTTGAACTTTTGAAAATATAGTACCTTAATCATACACTTTACATCTATTCATTTGTATTATTTGGATTTCTTCAATAGAATGAAGATAATAGGTTTCTAATATTAAGATTGTACCGAATAGGAAGACACATTTAGTTTTCAATTACAATGCAGGTTTGCCATTTACATACTTTTAGGGAACTTACTAAATCTGTACCTGTGTATGCTTCAGTTTCCTTTTTTGTAAAGTACAGACAGCAATTATAGTATCTTCCTCAAGAGGTTTATGAGAATTAAATTAGTCAACATTTGTAAATTGCTGTGTAACCTTGGGCAGGTCACACCACTGATTTCTTTTGGACTTCAGTTTCTTCATCTCTAATGTATTCAGGATAGCATTGGTTTTCAAAGAGTTTGTTATTGTTTTCAGCACCAATGCAATACTTCATTTTATTCCAAATGAAGTCTTATGTATTACATAGTTCGCCACATAAGCATGGTGAGGATATGCAGAAGCTTGTCTACTTGGCCTACTCCTGGTTCCTAATCTCCTGAGCCTAAACTCCTGGGTTATTTGGAGCACAGTTTGAACTCTAGATGACTTTAAGACTTTATGAAGGTCTAAAAATCTGTAATTCCTTTTTTAAAATCAGATGAAAATTATTACACAGAAAAAAGTTTTGATAGCATGGCACTGAATTTGATCGTAGCCAGTCTATATTATTCACTGTGCTTCATTCTGGTATTCGAAAATTGATTTGATCAAATCATTTGAAAATGAAAGGCCATGAAAAATTTTAAGCATCAGGTGATTTACTTTTGGTAGTTTGGTTGCATTTATCCTGAGTTACATAGACCTAGTTTCCAGTATAGCACTTTAATGGTGATGTGATCTTAATCCAGGTATTTATACTACCCTGAACACTAGGGGTTTTCTTGAAAATCTGTGAAGCCATCCATTTATAGCTCCATGATATGGAATAAAGAAGATAATATTTGTAGGACATCTAGCATCATGCTTAATATATGGTATTTGCTTATTATATTTGCTTATATGGTATTTGCTTAATATATGGTATTTGATAAACAGAGAAGAAAGACAATTCCTAATTCTTGATTTTGAGAGTTTTACATTCTTAAAGGAACATTCTATCGAAAGTTTATGTAAATAGAGGTTAAGACTTTTTTCTGACTTGCTTAGAGTTATTGATTATAAAGTTGCCATTATTAAAGGATACTGTGTTCAAAACCTGTGAAGTCAGAAAGGCTTTTGGAACAAGGGCAAATAGAACTTGTACTTTAAAGAGCCTTTGTTTTGGCCATGAGAAATGCAATTCAAGTTCTAATCGACATAATTCTACTTGAAATCCAAGTTTTTAATAGGTCAGTTGATTTATATTTCTCATGGTTTGCTGATTAATTGGTAGGTACTAATGTTTAATATTTTGTCTTTCAGCAAATTGAGAATCAATATAGATATTACTGTTGCCATGAAGTGTCAGTGTAAGTACACCTTCAACTTGCTGAATCCACATGTAGGTTATGGTTCAAACAATTGCCAATCAAAAATAAAAACCACTGGTTGTACTTTTTTTTTCCTTTATAATATTTTAAAGTTTTACTGTGATATTATTTAATAATGTAAATTGTCTTACTTCTCAGCTTATATTCTTCAAGTTTCTTTTCCATAAAGAGAAGAGATAAAACGTTCACATTAGTATAATTAAAAGAAAGTTGGAGGAAATGTTTGTGAATCAGCTTTCTAGTTTATGTACATCCTTTTTGTCTTTTTGTTTGGAGTACTAGCTTTTATACCCATGTTTCACAAGCATATCCTCGTGTCACTGTTTCAGTTTACGACCCTTCATGTTTACTCTTGTGTTTAAAAATACAGATCCAGTTTTTTTAAGTTAATGGTGATAGGTTACCCTTTTTTTTTTCTTCACTGGACTCACTTGGTTTTACTAGTAGAAGTGGAACAATGCTAATATGCCACATAGTGAATGTTTGAATCAATACTCTTTTCAAAAATAAGGATGCTTTTGCATGAAAAATATTTTATGAGTTACTGCTTAAATATTACAGACCAAGAACTCAGAACATTTTTACATTTTTAGAAGTATGAAATAATTTTACCCAATTAATTGGAGGTTATTTTCTGTGAGATTTCATCTCAGAATGACCTTGAATCTTTTCTTTTCAATATATTTTTCCTTATGTTAGTGGTTTTAAGAGATAAAAAAATACTTTATATTTAAACTTGTAGTTAGTGGTAATTCTGAATATATGATATTCTGCCTTATTTTGGATGTTTGAATATTGTTAAATTTTAGCCTTTTCCAAATAAAATTTCCTATGTGTTGATTTGTAGCTTTGCTTTAAGATTTCTTTTAATCTCTAAAAATATTTCTAGGAATTAATATTTTGTTCAGCAGCCACTTAGTACTTGTGATTAGGTTCTTGCCAGTATTTGCAAAGATCTTCAATTCAGTAACGCTTATCCTTTTTAAATGAGATCTTGAATTATCTTTTTTTTTTTTACTGGGTAAGAAGTAGAAAAAAAATTATTACATTTTGGAATAATCACCAAAGCTATATAAGGCTACTTTTAGCTTTTGGACAAATATATAGGAAGTGATTCTACATACTTGGTGAGTTTTTTTTGTTTTTTTTTGTTTTTGTTTTTGTTTTTGGCTTGGTGAGTTTTCTGTTAGTTGTCGTAATTTGTTTATATTGGGGATGGTTTGCCGCCAAGCATGGAATGTAAAACTTCTAATTCTTTTCTGTATGCAGATGTTGGAGCGGATGTATTGGATTTAGCAGAAACAATGGTTGCATCTGCAGATGGTCTAGTTTATGAACCAGTAAGTTTGATTCACATGGTTTTTTGAAATACATGGGTTGAGGAATTGTACCCTTGAAGACAGTTTTGATAGTTGCTTTTTAGTTTTGTCTGAAATAGTTTTTAGTATAATTCTTTTGTTTAAAAAGTAATCCATATTCTTTATAATAAATTTAGGGGAAAAAACAGAAAAGTTAGGTTATATACCAGAATCTTGAGGTGACCATTATTAACATTTTGGATGTAGTTTGGATGTGTCTAAAGTCTGTTTTATAACCTTTTTTTATATTTTTGTTACTACTTTCCAGTAGTTTCCTTTTCACTTTTCTTCTAGTATATATAGTGATGAGCTTTTTTCTTTTTCTCTAGTGATTTGGGCACTTTTATGTCCAGTTTGTATTCTACTATTACTAAATTTAAGTATTTAAAATATTTGAACTGTATTTCTCTTACAGTCAAGAATAAAACAGTATCTTTCTAAGAGGAGAAATGTCGTGGGCATTACTACTCCCTTCCTTCTTTATGCCTGTATTTCCCACAGCGTGTGAATTGCTGACATTTTCTTATTATCTTCAAAGCACAAGTTGAATATAACATCATTGATTTATCAGAAAATATCTTCACATTTCAGTGGCAGATATGGTGATAACGAGTCATGATCAGAACTAGCCCTAAAGAAGCTTTTGAGAATAAGCATGAGGACCTCAGCAACTTTTAGTTGCGGACTGCTCTGTTGGCGTGGTGGTACTTGTATTTACACATGCGTTCTTGAGTTCCTTTTTTTTTAAATCATTGAAAATTGTGAACCCTTCTTTTAGCAAATTTGCAAAATGAAGAGTGAAGGTGAAGGACAGGGAGTAGAAGTACTGAATGTATGGGGTTAAAGGAAAGAAAATGAAGTCCTTGGCCAGTTTTGATTATTGAATTAATTTTAGTTTACAGCTACAAACTTGATACATGCCTTTTGACATATACATTTTAAATAGAAATTTCTACAGAAGCAGTAACTTTGTTATTGCCACTCTGACTCTACTTTCTGACCTGTTTTGCCACTCAAAAAAATTGATTTTTAAGTAATTTTTTATGAGCTTAGTAACCTTACAGATTCATATATGACAGCGTACTGCACTATTATCTGCTCATTTTGATCTAAGTGATTATTAGATATTTTAATATTTGTATTGCATTTATACTATCTTAAGAATACTTATTTAATTTTAACTTTTTTTTTTTTTTAATTTTCTGCCATTCTTACCTTATTTTGTTTATCATTTTGAAGAGGTACTGTTTTTCCAATTTTTATTTTAGATTCATGGGGTACATATGCAGGTTTGTTACCTCGGTATATTGTATAATGCTGAGGTTTTCAGGTATGACTGATCCCATCACCCAGGTACTGGGCATAATAACCAATAGTTTTTCAGCCGTTTCCTTTCTCCCTCCCTCTTCTCTCTAATAGTCCCCACTTTCTGTTATTGCCATTTTTATGTCTATGAGTAGCCAACATTTAGCTCCCACTTATAAATGAGAACATACGGTATAAATGAGAACATATGGTGTATGGTTTTCTGTCCTGCCATTAATTTGCTTAGGTTTATTGCCTCCAGCTGCATTCATGTTGCTGCAAAGGATAAAAGTTTGTTCTTTTTTTATGGCTGCATAGTATTCCCTGGTGCATGTATACCACATTTTCTTTATCCCATTTACCATTGATGGGTACCTAGGTTGATTCCATGTATTCGTTATTGTGAATGGTGCTGCAATAAAGATAGGAGTACATGTGTCTTTTTCATATAGATTTATTTTCCTTTGAGTATATACCCAGTAATGGGATTGCTGGGTTGAATAATACTCTAAGTTGTTTGAGAACTCTCCAAACTGCTTTCCACATTGGCTGAACTAATTTACATTTTTACCAGCAGCATATAAGTGTTCCTTTTTCTCCACAACCTCTCTAACATCTGTTTTTTGGTTTCTTTTTTTGACTTGTTAATAATAGCCATTCTGACTGATGTGAGATGGCCTCTCATTGTGGTTTTGATTTGCATTTCTCATGGGGCATTTCTTCATGTTTGTTGGCCACTTGTATATCTTTTGAGAAGTGTATGTTCATGCCCTTTGCCCACTGTTTAATGGGGTTATTTGTTTTTTGCTTGTTCAGTTATTTAAGTTCCTTATAGAGTCTGGATATTAGACCTTTATCAGATGCAAAGTTTGCGACTATTTTCTCCCATTCTGTAGGTGGTCTGTTTACTCTGTTGGTAGTTTTTGTTTCGTTTTCTGTGCTCTTTGGTTTAATTAGCTCCCACTTTTCAATTTTTGTTTTTGTTGCAATTGCTTGTGGGGACATAGTCATGAATTATTTTCCAAGACTGATGCCTACAATGGTGTTTCCTGTGTTTTCTTCTAGGATTCTTATAGTTTAAGGTCATTTAAATCTTTACCCATCTTGAGTTAATTTTTGTATATGGTGAAAGATCTAGGCCCAGTTTCATTCTTCTGCGTATGGCTAGCCAGTTCTCCCAGTACCATTGATTGAATAGGGAGTCCTTTCCCCATTGCTTGTTTTTGTTGATTTTGTCAAAGATCAAATGGCTGTAGGTGTGCAGCTTAATTTCTGGATTCTCCATTCTGTTGAGGAGGGACTTTTTGAGATTTATTTTACGGCAAGAATATGTAGGTATGTTTTATGGATTATAGCATGGCTGCCTGTATCTTTCTGCTGTTATCTTTTATTACCCATTTTCTCTGTTGCTCTGAACTGGGAAAATCCCTTTCACATGGGTTTTTCTATCCTGTGAAATAAACTTGTTTTGGGCTCTTTCTCAATTTGGTTTCGTTTGTATGTGGTCTTGTATAAATTCATGAAAGTTTCCAACATATGAATGTTAATTTTAAATGATTTAAGATGATAATAAAGATTGCATCCTCATTTTTATGTTTCTTTTGGACACTGAGAATTACATGTTTATGTATTATAATCTTGAATGTATCCTCTAAAAGTCACTTACACTGTTAAAGCATTCTGTCTATATTCTAACTGTTGTGGTCACTCTCTTTTTTTTTTTTTTTTTTGACATTTATGAGATGCCTGATTTTATCTTTTTTTTTCCCCCTACACCTCTTGTCTTTTCTAGCTGGATTTTAAGCTTTTGAGAATCATTAATTTCATTCTTCTTTGTAGTTCTCAAAAATGTATTATAAAATGCTTTGCAGGTTTTAGGCAATAGTGATATGTTAGAATTATGCAGTTGGGACAGTATTGTTGACTGTTTTCATTGTAAACAGTTTCCGCCATCTCTTCCAGTAGTTTATGGAGCAGGAAGATTTTATTTAAATTGTTATAATTAAAAGTTGTATCTTAATGAGAAAGTTAAGAACTTCTAATTGTTTAATTGTATACTTTTCATCAGTAATATTTAAAGTGTTTAACAATGGTTTTAGGAAACTATTCATTCCTTTGTCCTAATTTATATAAAAGTATTTAAGAATTATTATTTTTAATATAAAATTATTAAAAATGTAATTTTAACTTAAATATTTTTTCATTCATTATTTTAATACGCATTCTGAATATTAAAAACCTAGCCCTGATAACTTTACTAGTTTACAAGCCATGATCATACAATGTGCTATAATAGTTACTATTCTACTATTTCTATTGCATTTAGTTACTATTTAAAGACAAGAAAAATTTTTTAAAGGTGAGAAAGTAAGGAATCTGATAGAGCTGAATTTGTGTATTGGTTGTTACTTACTCTCTGTGATTTTGGAAAGTTTGTAACTTTTTGAGCTCCTGCTTCCTCCTGTGTAAAAAGGGAAGAGGAGTAACAAATTCGCCAGGTTGTTAGGAAGGTTAAGTGAGAAAATGAATTAGCATGGGGCCTAGCAAAGTAGTTTCTTTATACCTTTGTGCTAAGTAAACATTGTACAAAGAAGGTTATAGAATTCAAAGGAAGAATCATAGAGTCCCCACTGTCAATGATTTTATTTATACATTAGCTGGAGAGTAACTGCAAACAGCCTTATTGGTGTGTTTTATAGATGTTAGCATTTTCCTTGTGTGCTGTAATGTGAAAAAGGTTTGGTAGCATGCTTTAGGCAAATTCATCAGGAGGTATAATCAAAGGAAACATCAGAAAGATTGGGACAATTTAACTTGGAGCATATGGTTGTATAAAACTTAGACATGAGGCTCACAGTTATGGGAGAGGCAGGTTCCAGATTGACAAAATTAAATTTAAAAGTCACAGAAGTAGTGCTGTGAACTAGGACTAGAAAAGTGGATTTTTTTTTTTTTTTTGAAACGGAGTTTCACTTTGTTGCCCAGACTGAGTGCATTGGCAGAATCTCTGCTCACTGCAGCCTCCGCCTCCTGGGTTCAAGCGGTTCTTGTGCCTCAGCCTCTTAAGTAGCTGGGATTACAGGAGCCCACCACTCGCTGATTTTTTTTTTTAGTAGAGACAGGGATTCACCTTGTTGCCCCAGCTGGTCTCGAACTCCTGAGCTCAGGCAATCCACCCATCTTGGCCTCTCAAAGTGCTAGGATTACAGGCGTGAGAGCCACCATGCCTGGCCAAAAAGTGGATTATTGTTGCAAAATTAAATTGTGGATATAGCTACTATGAGAAGTTTGCATATTTTTCTCTGACTCTACAAGTAGCTAAGTCTGACTTTGATCATACCTAGATAAAATTTCTTAAGTAGTTCTTTGTTGATCAATGCATTTGGGAATTACTGTGCTATTTTTGAACTCATTTCAAAAATTGTTGATTTTATTATGGTATTTTACCAGCAAGAATTTGGACTTTGGATGCTTGAATATAACTCTGTATGTCATTTTCTACCCCAATACTTGTGAATTTCATACTAGCATCATTTAAATGATTTTAAGCCCTAAGATACCATTTTGTACATGTGATAAATTGTCAACTTGCATATATTCCTGTAAATGTCGATAACTGTAACAGGAAAATATTTGTGATTTGTAAAATTTCTTTATGCTATTTTTCAGTAAAGATAGCACATTGAAATTTTAATTTGACTTAGTAGAAGTTGAATGTAAACCATGAATACTTGTTTTTAACAACACTCTGAGTTTATGTTTCTTGCTCAAAGAACAAATTTTAAAATTGTAGTGTAAAAGCCAATATAATTTGACAGTGCTAGTGATTATGTTTTCTTTCATTTCAGGCAGTATTTGATCTTTCACCACAGCAGAAAGAGTGGCAGAGGTAATAAGAGAACAAAGTATTGTGCTCCATAGAAATCTAAGTCATATTTTGTCTATTGTAAACTATTTATGGACTAACGCATTTCTCTAGGAATTTCTTTGGATGAATTATTAGCAGAATTTAGTATATAATATAATCTTTACAGTTTCAAAAACCGTCAGATCTTAAAGTCATGCATAATCTTTTTTCTGGTAAACTTTGATTCATAAGTTTTAGTTTTTATTTAAAATGATATCAACATTTTTTTGATTACAAAAGTAATATATGATCATTTTAAAAATTCAATTTGAATAGAAATGATGTAAAGCAAGATTGTCCAGCCTGCGGCCCTACAGGAAGGCTTTGAATGTAGCTTAACAACTTTTTTTTTTTTTGAGACAGTCTCACTCTGTCGCCCAGGCTGGAGTACAGTGGCGCAATCTTGGCTCACTGCAACCCCCGCGTCACAGGTTGAAGCGATTCTCCTGCCTCAGCCTCGTTAGTAGCTGGCGCACACTACAGGCACACACCACCATGCCCAGCTAATTTTTTGTGTTTTCAGGAGAGATACGGTTTCACCATGTTGACTAGGCTGGTCTTGAACTCCGGAACTGAAGTGATCCGCCCACTTCGGCCTCCCAGAGGGCTGGGATTACAGGCATGAGCCACTGTGCCCGGCCACAAATTTGTAAACTTTCTGAAAAAATTACGAGTTTTTTGTGATTTTTTTTTTTTTTTTTTTTTTTTTTTTTTAAACTCATCAGCTATAGTTAATGTGTTTTATGTGTGGCCCAAGATAATTATTCTTACAATGTGGCCCAGGGAAGCCAGAAGATTGGGCACCTAGATACAAAGTAAATGTAAAAGCCCCCTTCTCTTTCTGCAAACTAATGCCACTGATTAGCAGTAATAACCAGTAATAAGTTTCTTGGGTAGCCTTCTAGACAGACATTTTGTGTGTATGTATATAATATGTATATTATATATATTTCTGTGTATATATACAAAATTATGATAATTCTTACATATAATCTATATAGTATATAGTATATAATTCTATATAGTTCTGATATATATGAGTATATTATATATTTTATAATATATAAGTTTATATGTTCATTATATATTTTATAATATATTTATATATTTTATAATGTGTTACATATAAAAACATGTAATTATTTATATATGGAAATATACATACAGAATTAAGTTGCTTTTTTATACCTAACATGATATTTTGGACTCATTTCTGTATATATAATGGTCTATTTTATGGATAGATTGTAGTTTATTTAATTGGATCCTTATTGATGGGTATTTAGATTGCTTTCAGAATTCTAATATTAAAAACAATACTAAGTGAACATTCTTGAACCTAATTGTGTATATGTTTGTGTGTTTGTGTATTTCTAGAAATAGAATTTCTTTCTCTGAGGATATTTAACATTTTGATAGTGCCTGTGTCCTCCCAAATTATTATTTCAGTTATACTCCAAAAGGCTAGAGTACTTGTTTCTGTACAACCTCACCAACAATGAGAATACCTAGAATTTTTAAAAATATATGCCAGATTGATGGGTGAAAATTGGTACTATGCTTTTATTAATTAACATTTCTTTATGAATCAATTGACTGTCTTTGTGGGTTTTTTTTCCTCATTTGTATTTTTTTTTGTGAAAAAAAAATGCCTATATGCCTATTTTGCTTGGTTAGTTTTTTTGTAAGAATTATTTTTAAATTAAAGAAAATAGTTCTTTGTTATAAGTGCTTCTGTCTCCCATCCCCCATATATTGCTTTTTATTTTCTAGGTTATGTCTTGCACTTATAAAGGCTTTATATAGTTTAAGATTATTCTAAAATTTTTTTCTTTACCCATTTTTTTTTTTTTCCTAGTCCCTAAGTATATTCCAAGGGTCTTTCTCTTTTAATTTCCAGTTTCACCACTTGAGGGAGTTTTTATATGAAAGTTGAAATCGAATGTCGGTGAACAAAAGCACTGAATGTTAGCTGTCTCTGGGCTCTTAGAATTTTTAGTAGAAAGCCATCCACAGATGAAATACTTTACTTTGATCCAGAAACATTAAAGTGAGATTTCTCCTTTCATTTAGAATTTTTTTTCAATGCTCGAAACTAGTAGTAAGTGGGAGAAGAGATTGTATTTCTACTCTTAAGGTGATATAAATTTGCCATCATAGTATTCTCTGCATACCTTCATGTGTGGAATATAGGCTTGGGATATTTATTGACACAGTGAAGGCAGAAATTTTTTTCATAAACACACATAATACATACATACATACATATACACGTATGTATAGTTTGTTGTCATCAAACTCCTTGATCACTGCCGTGCTTCAAAAGTTGAACTCTCAATATACAAGATACACAAAAAAATGTGAAGATTTCCATTTCTGCTGGCATTGGATCCAAAGATTTTAAGTCTTCAGATGTCTGAATCTGAGGATGGGATCTGGCTTCTTGGAGCATCCTAGATTATCACATTCTGATTCTAAAATTATTGAATAGCTCTTGAATGGCCTAGAGATACCCAAGGTTTATATCTTCCTTACTAATGTGTGTACCAAAATGTTTTTTACTTCTGGAATTTTCTAAGAGATTTAAATTTTCTCTCAATTGATGTTGTATAATACTTTCCTAAAATATTTAGGATCACAGTTAATCTCTCTTTAACTGTAAATTTCAAACCCTGGACAGAACCTTTCTGGTTTCTACTTTTTTATGTCTAGATTTCAGATTTATTTTATTCCAAACTATACAATATTAATATAACTTGTTATTTTAAATAGGCCTGTTTTACTAATTTTCTAGATAGATGATGTGTAAGTTTTTAATCTTCTGCTTGCACATCTGGAAAGTGCTTTTTTTATCATTATGGTGGGATGGTAAAGTATTATGAGATTTACAATTGCTTTCTTTTTGTGAGTACCTATGTTTATAACTTTTTTCCAAGTTACATGTATGTATTTTTCTTTTAGAGTAGTTAGACTCACAGCAAAATTGAGCAGAAAGTAGTGTTCTCGTATACCCATCCCCCTATGGGTTCCTCCATTATCAACATCTTGCATCAGGTTGGATATAGTTGTTATAATCAGTGAACCTATGTTGACACATCATCACCATAGTTTACATTAGAGTTCACTCTTGGTGTTGAATGTACATTCTGTGAGTTCTGACAAATGCATAATGACATGTATCTACCATACTGCCATACAGAATGATTTCACTGCTATTAGAATTTTCTGTGCTCCGCTTGTTTATTCTTCCCTTCCCACTGTGTATAATTTTTGTACTTACCAAGTTTGAACTTTACTACAGATGACTTGGAATATTAGTTATTTAAAGAAATAGAATTAAAAGAGATAAAATAGTACTACATCTAATGACACAAAGTTATTGCTGAAAATTGTAGGAGTTAACACAGCTCAATGGTAGAAGTATTGTAGAGAGAGAAATTCTTGTAATGAAAATGAGATACTTGTGGTATGAGTTTATGCCGAGTAACGTACCACTTCAAGTCCATCAAGTCTATTGTGTAGTCCCTTATTTGTCTTACTCTTTGTATCTATACTATTTCGTTCAGTGTCTGACAAAGAAAAGAATTTTGTAATTGTGCATGTATGCATGAAAGATTAATTTAGATACTTAAGTGAGTAGAAGCCCTACTTTGGTGGTCCTGACTGCACATCCATTACTGATGGGATCAAACAGGCTTATGGAGCTCAGCTATTAGACCTCTAGCCGCCCTGCCTCATTTGCTTTCAAGGAAATGACCAAAGAAAACTTGGTATGTTATTTTAGAATATGAAATCCTGTAATAATAAACGTATGGTTTAGCTAAGTCAGCTAAACATTGTCATTTTTGAATAAGTGTCAGCTCTCTTTGTGTACCTTTCTGTAGTTCTAAACTATTGCTTGTTTCTTATTTAGGATGCTGCAGCTGATTCAGAGTAGGCTACAAGAAGAGCATTCACTTCAAGATGTGATATTTAAAAGTGCTTTTAAAAGTGCATCAACAGCTCTTCCACCAAGGTGAGATCTGTATTTTAAATGTGCAACTGTGTATTATGAATTTACTTTGACATAGTTAAAACTAAAGTGTTGATTTAGTTTTCTGAATCTTATTTTTCTTAAGAAGGGAAAATAGAATCATTCTTTACTATAAAGACACCTTTTGCTCTTAAATTTATAGGCTGTGATTTTGATCAGAATTATCACAAATATTTATTTGCATTTAATTTTCTTTTTTATGCGTGGTATACCTCCATATAAAATTATATTGAGTTTTAAGAAAAATTAGTTTCATTTACTATTTTGAGGATCCATAAGCTTTGGTTAGAAATTTTATTTCACGTTTTTGTATTTTAAAGATTAGAGGCTGGGAACAGTGGCTCACGTTTGTAATCCCAGCACTTTGGGAGGCCAAGGCAAGCGGACCATTTGAGGTCAGGAGTTCAAGACCAGCCTGACCAATGTGGTGAAACTCCATCCCTACTAAAAGTACAAAAAAATTAGCCGGGCCTGGTGGGTGCATGTACGTAGTCACAGCTACTCAGGAGGCTGAGGCAGGAGAATAACTTGACCCCAGGAGGTAGAGGTTACAGTGAGTCAGATTGTACCACTGCACTCCAGCCTGGGTAACAGAGCAAGACTCTGTCTCAAAAGAAAAAAAAAAAAAAAGATTAGTGGATATTTGGAAATGCTATAATCATAAATATAATAAAAATGTGCAAGATTTTACATTTGCTTACGAAGAAAATGTCATTGTCTCTTTGAACTTAGGTGGCATACCTTTCCTTTACCTCAATCATATTTCTGCCCTCCCTCCCTCTCCCTGCTACAGTACCAGAAAAAAATGAAGAAAATAGGTCTTTTTGGACTAATTCTTTTGTTTTAGTCTTCTGTCACTGGACTTAGTCCTCTGGTTAGAGTTGAAGAACCATGGAATTTCAAATTTATGTAAATGTAACAGATATTAAATAAGTATTTTTTTCCCATTTTATAGATGTGTAATTTTTATAAATGTCTAGACTTCAGGAAACTGCTATTCTATTTTTAACATTTAGAATATTACCTAAAAAATGATCTTTAGGGATTTTTTTTTCTATACACATTTTTCTCATCATAAAATGGTAACTATGTTGAATGTGCTTTAAATAATATATCTTATTTTAACAGAGAAGATGATTCATCACAGTCTCCAGATGCATGCAGAATTCATGGCCATCTATATGTCAATAAAGTAGCAGGGAATTTTCACATAACAGTGGGCAAGTATGTTCTTTTCACTTACTGAAAATACTTTAAACAAAATTGGAGCTTGGTTAAAAGTAAAATTTGGCCAGGCAGGATGGCTCACGCCTGTAATCCTAGCACTTTGGGAGGCCGAGGCGGGTGGATCACCTGAGGTCAGGAGTTCAAGACCTGCCTTCCCAACATGTCAAAACCTCATCTCTACTAAAAATACAAAAAATTAACTGGGCGTGATGGCGGGCGCCTGTAATCCCAGATACTTGAGAGGCTGAGGCAGGAGAATTGCTTGAACCCAGGAGGCAGAGGTTGCAATGAGGCGAGATCATGCCACTGCACTACAGCCTGGGCCATGAGTGAAACTCTGTATCAAAAAAAAAAAAAAAAAAAGTGAATACTTTGCTAATCAAATAACATATAGCTAACTACTAAAGGATTGCTTAAAATACCATGTATATGTATTTTTAATGTCTTGAGATTGTTGTCTGGGGCTTCAGCTCAGGATAGAGAAAACTACTAACTTTAAAAACTACTTCAAAACAAAAGTAAAGCAGTCATGTCATGTGTTGTGTATTAAAGTAATTGAACCGTAGGTAAATATCAGTTACAACCTTCTACTTGCCAGGTTTTAGTAGCCAGAGAGCTCTTAACTAGACATTTCATTAATTTGTTCATTTTTTTTTTTTTTTGATATGGTATTAGGTTTTTGTCTTAATGTTTTGGTGGTCCTCATCAAAATGTAATTCCTGACTAATCCTAGACAAGTGTTTTGATAGAGTTAGAAATTAGCAGTGTCTAGAATATAAAGTTAAATTAGGTAAAAGTTAAGAAAAAATATTAGCAGCACCCAGCACAGAAATTGTCATAAACACTTGTTAAATTTTTGAGTGAATAAATAGATCCATTCGTCTTTCCCTCCCATATAGAGAGCTGAACTGAACAATTCTTTATTGTACAAGACATTTTTTGAGTACTTGCTATGTGCAAAGTACCATGCTAGAAACTAAGGATAAACAGTGAAGAAAAAAATAAAAGGTTTTTGCCCTTTTTAATTTATTTTATTCCAAACTGTACAGTATAAATATGACTTGTTATTTTAAATAGGCCTGACATTCTGTAAGAAAATCCACACTTTAAGCAGTGAATACGTTAATAATTATTTAATGATAGTTGTATCGAGGCTGTAAAGGAGAAGTATGGCTGATAAGAGACTATTTAACAAGATATTAAACTTACGTTGCAAGTCAGTTGAGCCCTTATTGAGGAAAACCTTTGAACACTAGGAGAAGAGGAGGAATTTAATATATAAAGGAGGGAAGGGCATACAGCAGGAAAGAGCATGGCTGGAAATTTTAAAATATATATAGAGAGATAACATTAGATTTCTATGAAAAAGTATTTCAGTATTTACAATACTCAGATCAAACATTTATTTTTTTCTTCGTTATCTCTTGAAATGTATGTTTTGTTGTTTTGTTACCATTACCCATCTCCAACCCAGCCTGTTGCTGGGAACCTTGGAATGTCTTGAAATCGTAGCTTAAAGAAATTTAGAAGATTTTATTGCACCTTTGGATACAAACCATATTTTAGTCCAACACCAACTCAAAGAGGGAAATTTTGACAAATATTATATCAGACTCTATATTATGTCCCTTTTTAAAATTTGTTTTTGGTCTTTTCACAATTTTACTTTCCTTCACAGGTGGTAACTCATACTATCAGAGAGGCCAAATGGAAAAGCATTTGGTTCGTATCTTGTCATCTCAGGGATATCCTGTAAACCCACTCCTAATTTTTTAGTATTATATTTGTCAAGTTCAATATTGATATTTTTCAAGGTCTCATATTACCTCTCAGACCCAATGTCAATCTCAACTGTAATATAAAAGAGTAATAAAAGGAGCATAATTTGTAGCATAATTTGTATTTCAGTATGCTTGAGTGTGAATACACTAGAAGACATAATGAAGTAGGCAGATGCTTACCACTTATATGTAGAATTTTTAAATATATAATAACTACAAATGCAAACTGAAACAGATGTATTGGCTACTCAAATACCATGAATGACATTTCCATTGATGAGATGATATTCAGAAATAGGAATACCTCTTTGTAATATTAAACAAAACAATATAAGCTTCCCTTAGTTTTCTGGGAGATTTAATGTATATCAAAACGACAACAGGTACTTTATATAGTTAAATGGAGTTCAGTTCTAGACTCAGATTATTATAATAGACTTTTCATGTAGATGAGTATCTCTTAGAGCATTTGAAACTCAGGCAAAACCTGGGATGATTCTTTTTTGAATGAGACTGTCAATTTTATTGTAGGATGCCCTGTTTCTGTGACTGTTGTCCAGTAAATCCCAATAGCAACCACTTCCCAATAATTCTGACGACTCAAAATGCCTCTCTTCACCCCCCACCAATTTTCAGAACAACTTTTCCAGCACTGAAAGTCATGCAGGCTAGATTCTTGTCTGATAGGGTAGAAAATATTCCAGAAAAGAAACAGGTAAATTCTGAATATCCATCCTCCCTATGCAGAGTTTTAACAAGTGTCAGATAGCTTCAGTCATCTGTACTAGGCTGATTTAATTTGATTTTTAAATTTAATTTTTTGAAGAAGATGCTCACATATGCTGTTATTTCATAAAATGAATACACCTGTCAACAACAACAACAAAAAGGAAATATTATTTAAAACAGCTCTCTATTCCTCTCAGAGTAAAATCCTGGGTGGTGAGAGAGGTCATTGAAGTAAAATGTATAGGTTGAGCATCCGTTATCTGAACATCTGAAATTCAGAATTGTCAACACAATGCTGAAAGGAAATGCTTAAGAGTGTTTCAGATTTCAGATTAGGGAAGCCTTCCTGGCAAATAAAATGTACATATTCTAAAATCTAAAATTTGAAACTTCTGATCCCAAGCATTTTACATAAGGGATATTCAATGTGTAGTATTGTAATCTGGTTATTCAGAAAAACTCTAAATTTGTTTGTTTGAAAATAATAGTAGGAACGCTGTTAGGCTGACAATATGAGTGGACTTATGACAGTATTTATGACAGTAGACTTTCTTTTTAGTACTAAGCTTGAGGTAATATACTTGACTGAACCCAGAAGAATTTACGAGACCAAACTACCAATCATTCCAGTGCATCAGGAAATGCTTTATTGAGCAGGGTTTTAGTATACTTTGTGTTGAATGTCAGTTAATACTTTTCCCTAATCATTGTATTGCCTTTTTTAAAGTGCCTGGTGTTTTGCTAGGTAACACATAGAACAAATTAAACAATGTTTAGACCTACTACAGCGTATTCTGAAACTTGACAATGGTGACAGTTAATTGTTAATAAATAAAGAAGGCTCTTTTATGGAGAGTTTCTGTTTTCAGTTTTTTAGTTAATTGCTAGAATTGGCAACTGGGTAAAGCATGATTGTGGTAATGGAGATCTTCAAGGTGATTTTTTAATTTTTTTTTAACCAGGAACAGGGAAGGATAATACTTATTTGTAGAAGTATAAAGATGTTAAAAGAACAGGTTAAATTTGAAAGATAACAGTGTATGACAGAACAGAGGTTTACTGCAGGGGTAGGCAAACTACAGCTTATATTCCAAATCCAGCCTACTACCTGTTTTTGTATGGTTCATGAGCTGAGAAAGGCTTTCAAATTTTTATTTTTTAAATTTTATTTATTTATTTGTTTGGTTTTTTTTGAGACAGAGTCTCACTCTGTTGCTCAGGCTGGAGTGCAGTGACATGATCTGGGCTCACTGCAATCTCTGCCTCCCAGATTCAAGTGATTCTCCTGCCTCAGCCTCCTGAGTAGCTGGGATTACAGGTAGCCCCCCCACCACGCCCGTAATTTTAGTATTTTTAGCAGAGACAGGGTTTCACCATGTTGGCCAGGCTGGTCTCAAACTCCTGACCTCAAGTGATCCATTTGCCTTGGCCTCCCAAAGACCTGGGGATTACAGGTGTGAGCCACCTTGCCCAGCCATGGTTTTTATATTTTTAAATATTTGAAAATAAATCAGAAGAGGAGTAATATAATACATGAGAAATACATGCAAGTTAAATTTGTGTCCAGAAATAAAGTTTTATTGCCGTATAGCCGTGCTCATTTGTTTATATATATGGCTGCTTTTGTATTCCAGTAACACAGTTGAGTAATTCTGGCAGACACTGCATATGACTCTCTGATTACTTTGTACTTTGGTATACTGTGAATTGCAGTGATGCAGTTATAATTTGACAGCATTGAAAGTGCTGTGTGTATTCCTGTCCTGCAGCATTTTATTTATTTATTGTATTACTATGTTTAAAAAAAAAGAAATATGACTTCAAATGTTGCATTTTTAAAGCACAGTGGACTTTGGATTATTTGATCAAATCTGGCTGCAGAACATCGTGCGTATTAAGCAATGACACTAATTGTGCTGAAAAGAATACAGTATATGTTGATGGTGCCAGACTGATCATTCATCACAGTGTTACCAACCTGTAAAAAAGCAATGGTCAGAAAAATTAGAAAATTAAAAATGGAATATCCAAACACTAGCATTTTATAAAAAGTCAAAATGAAGCTGTGATCTTTAAGTGCCTCATTGTTTAGCAAGTAAGGAAAGTCATCCAACCATTGATAAGTCTGTGAAGCAATGTTTGACTGCCAAAGCTAAAGAAATGACTCCAGAGAAAATAAATTTGCTTTAGACAATTAGATGACTAGCCTTCTTCAAGAAAAGTGTTCCAGTAGATGAGGACATTGAGAGCAGTATCTAATAGCCAGTTCAAAAACAAACCAGGAGATTTTGAGTAGTTCCTAAATTCTTGATCAGTGGGCAGATGTTACTAGAACTGCTTATTGTTTAATCGAGGAATCAATGCTGAATTTGAAGTGATTGAAGAATTAGTATCTGTGAATCACCTGCTTGCAACAAAAACTATAGGCAAGAATATTTTCATAGAAGTTGAGAGAACACAAATTCAGTACATCCTAAAGTGGAATCTGGTTGGTATATGTTACAAATGTATTATAACTGATGGTGGTGTGTGGAGCAGAAAAAGGCCTACTTGGATGCCTTTCAAACCTTGTGAAAATGTAGTGTTTAATGCCTGTTGTTATCCATTGTATCATCAGTAGTACTTTGCAGAAAATATTTGAATTGATGATGTATTTTAAACTGGTGTGTCAATGGTAAACTTCATTTGCTCTCCTGGACCTAAATATTGACATTTCCGTGGTTTTTTTTTTGGTCAGGTATAAAAACTAAATATTCCATCTCGCCCTACTACGTAGCAGTTTGATGGCTTAGCAGTACATTTTTTGAGCTCAGTGCCAAGATTGGATTTTTTCTGAATGAGAAAACTTCCATCAGTTACAATTACTGAGCAAGGAATATTTTTGGAAATTAAGTTTCATGCAGACTTAATAATGTTTAATGAATTTAGCCTAAAAGTATAAGGCAAAACCAATTTTTGTGAAATTTATATTGTAGTAAAGTTGTTTCAGTGACTAGTGATTTTGAGTGGTTTCTTTTACTTTTCATGCCTTGATAGCGTTTGCTGTCAAAAGTTAAAGCAAGAATCTAGACTCATTCTCATACTTGAATATATTTTCTGACTTTTCAAACTGTAGTTCCAGAACTTCAGACATTGATGCAAATACAAAGGAAATTTCCATGTTTCAAATTCATTTAACTGCGCAGTTGAGGAAATTATGCTTTAATTTAGATTGGAAGTTATTAATCTGCAATATAATAACATGTTTATAGGTAAATAAGTGTTAGGAGAAAAATCTACTGGCATTCTGTAAATGTCTTTCAAGCAATGAATATGCTCAGCTCATACTCGTGGATTAATTTTTCAAAGATGAAATACTTAAAATGTCATTATAGATCATCATCATCAGATAAAGATTTATGGTCAGTTTTGAAAATAGGAAACATTCCAAACCCCAATTAAACAAAGTGTAATCTCCCTGCAAAACAGTTGTATTACAAAAAAAAAGGACTCATTACTATTATATCAATGAAAAGTTTGTGAAAATTTGCTTTTTCTCGTTATGTAACTACATAATATACTTGATTTTGCATCTTGGTCCACAAAGCCTAAAGTATTTACTATCTGACTCTTTACCAAAAGTGTTTGCCAACCTCCAGCAGTTTATTGCATTGCTGAGATGAGTAGACTTGTCTGCTCTGTCATAGGCCAAATACATTCTTATGTTATTTTGTACTAAGAAAAATTATATAACTTAGGGAACTAATTATATATATATTCTGATCTTAACTAATTTTATATATAACTAATCTTAACTAATTATATATATAAATGGTATTACTTTAATATTTTTTTTTCTCCTTTTAGGGCAATTCCACATCCTCGTGGTCATGCACATTTGGCAGCACTTGTCAACCATGAATGTAAGCAGTTTCTGACTTTTTTCCAGTAAAGACGTCCTTGAAAAAAATATTACTTTTTAAAGTGCAGATGCAGTGTAGTTGAAAGTGAGCTGTTTTGAAAACATATTCATCCAAAGGAAAAAATAAATTTTTAAATTGATTTACTTTAATCTGCATTTGTATTTTGTCATGGCTCAGAGTTGCTGAGGTTAGGGAGGAAAGTGTAGTGTACTTTCTATAACTTTGACACATTTCTGCTAATTTTTAGGGATAATGAAAAGAATATGTTTGCAGTTTATTTCAATTTGCAAATTGAAATATGAATATATAGATACGTATAAAGTATTCAGGTTAGTTTGGTATGATTGTCATAAGACTTAAGTTTTTAAAGTCTGCTTTAGAAGACAAAACAAGTATTGGATTCCACAAAAAATTAGTTTGGTCACATTAAGCAGTAGTGTGTATTAAAAATATATCTGATCAGTTTTATTATATGGCTACATGGACATCATTCCAATTCTAACAATACAGCCCTGTTACTATATGATGATTTGGAAAAGGAAAGATGTATATTTTTGGCTTTCATTATTATAGTAATATTTGCTAGACGTTAAATTTTATATAATTACAAAATTTGAGGTGTAGCATTTTGTCCGAATTTATTTTATACATTTAATTTGCATGTGTTTACATTTATTTTTCTCAAAGTAATGTGGCTTAAAATACTGTATTATTATTCTTGCAGATTTTAAGCATTTTCATTTGAGAATAGATAAGGATGTAAACCAGTCTGTAACATGTAATTTCCAATAATATAATTTCTCTGCTAAGTTGTTTTTATTTTTTGCCTTTTAGCTTACAACTTTTCTCATAGAATAGATCATTTGTCTTTTGGAGAGCTTGTTCCAGCAATTATTAATCCTTTAGATGGAACTGAAAAAATTGCTATAGATCGTAAGTATTTAATATTACTGTTGGATTTTTCATGTAGAAAATTTTGCTTATAACCTGAATATTAATCATTTTTAATGTCTTCCTAACTACTGTGTAAAGATAATCTTTAAGTGGTTGGTGAGTGAGATGTGTGTGGAGAGAATTTGTCCTAGTAGTGGATGAAATTTGAATATTCAAATATGAGCCATAGAACAGAATAAACAAATTCAAGTTAAAAGATGAAGTAGTTAAAAGGCAGAAGGAGTTCAATATAATCAGTAGAAATAGATGAAAAGTTAATACGTTAATAGGGCATAACTGCACTTTTTTGTATTCACCAAAGAAAGAATAAGAACGAAAGAAAGGTTCAACATTATGAGAAGAATTTTCTTCGTTGTATAATATAGGTTCAAAGTTTTAAAATGCATATGTATCATTTTAGAAACCTCTCTGGAGAATTTTACAAACACCAGAAACCTAGTTATTCTGGAATGGTTTGGTTATTAACATAGAAGGAGTACATCGTAGCACAGATAACCTTTTAAAAATGTTCTTTTAACCTTCTGCTCCATTTAAAGAATCAAATCTATCCAAATATGGAAAGATAATTTTCTTAGTTTTTTAGAAAGTTGTCTGTTTTCATGTTTTCTGCAGGTTTTTGATTGCCTCTTTCTAAAATAGTCATGTTATATACCATGTTCCAGCTATTGGACATTTAAAGGACTTCTGAAGCTTTTTCAGCTAGTAGGAATTCTGTCCTTTGTAAAATTATAATTAAGGATTTAGTTTTTTATTAAGTAGATTTATTAGTATTCTATTTAGATTTATTCATATTCTTTACTTTTTAGCAGTGTTATAATCACATATTAAAGATATTTAGAATTTAGAATACTGATTTACATTCATGAATATTTTATGTTCATGTGGGAATGTTTCCCTTCAGGAAAGCTGAGTGTACTAAATTCAGAAATGTGTGGATGGAAACATTTTGAGATTTATAAGCTTTAGTTAGTATAATCTAATCTGTAATCTAAGCATATGTTAATTCTCCTCTGAAATGAATTGCATGTTACCTGAGAGATGCTCATTTGGAAACATACTGGTCGATGCTTTGTTTCAAGATGTTAAAATGAACTACAAATTTTTGTACAGAAGCTCTTCTAAATATAAACAAGTTAATTTTCAAAATGCTGTTTTTAAGTGCACTTCTTTATAAATTCAGAGAAACTAAGTGGTATTTAGAGTCATATTCTGAAATGCTGTTAGGTGAGTATCATCAGGTTATTCAAAGCTTTAAAGCAGTTTGTGTACTTTTCTCCTCCGTAATATATGTTTCATTCGGCCTCTTTTTCCAAAAAGAAAAACATCACCATTACATATCTGCTGTGTCAGGTACCTATCCCTTTCCTGATGTTCTCCAGAAGTATTGCAGGGGTTACTTAACAATTAACATCTTTAATGCAGTGCAGATTTGGATAAACAAGATAGACGTAGTCCCTGCCCCTCATAGAGCACACATTCATGTAGGGAATTAGATCTTTAGGTAATAAGTGTTAGGGCAAATGGCTCTGAACAAAATAAAGGAGATTGCCTATGATACAAGAAAGGGCATGGAAGAGGCTGTGGTATTTGAAAAGAAACTTGAGTGAAGTGAGTAAGTGAGCCAAGTGATGATCTTTTTGAGAGCATTGCAGGCAGTTTTATTATTAACGAAGCTGACAGAAATAAAACAATCTATATATGCTGCCACAAACTAGTTAACCTAACTTCATACTCCTCCTACTCTGCCAGCTTCTCAAATGGCAGGGATGGCTCACTTTCCTAATGGTAGAGAGGTGGATATGTATGTCTTAAAGACAGAGCTGTTTAAAAGAGAGAATGCCTATACTATCTAGTTGAGTGGCTTAGCCACACATGATTACTTTCTGCAGATGAATCATTCCTTCCATGAGTGAGAGGGAAGTGGAGAGGAAGGTCAAAGCTTTTATCTTTTATGTACACAGGGGTACAAGCTTCTATTTAAATCTGGGATAATTTTTTCTGCTTAAATTTAAAACCATGCTCCCCTTGAGTGAAACCGCCTGGATTCAAGTTCTCACTCTGCCACTTAATAACTTGGACTTTGGCCTGTTTCTTAACATCCCTCTACTTGAGTTGCTTCATCTCTAACAAAAGGATAATAAAAACATTTACTTGCTTATCTAGTTGAACCTATGGATAGATGTATCTAATTATAATTTTTCCAGAGAATTCTCTAGACCTAGAGAATTAACGTGTTTTATATTATGTGAATGGGTAATTGTTGACAGTTAATTAGTAATTGGCAATATGCTGCTATTTAAAACTTGTGTCAAACTTAGAAATGCCTAATGACTACATAAAAATGATCCTTTTGATTACACAGTAACCCCAGGCCATCATTGAGTAGTTTCTTAAGTTTTCTTCCTACTGTGATATCAGTTCCTTGTATTTATTCAAAGGCTAGCTAATTTGATTTTAGTGTAGTGTATATCTTAAGATATTAGTAGAAACTGAAAATGTGTCTTGTGATGGTTATTCTCTTATAATTTTATTTTATTCTTAGTTTCTGTACTGTAAAGAAATGCTGACCAGGCGCAGTGACTCACACCTATAATCCCAGCGCTTTGGGAGGCCGAGGCAGGAGGATCACTTGAACCCAGGAATTTGAGACCAGCCTGGGCAACACGGCAAAACCGTGTCTCTACTAAAAACGAAAAAAAAAATTTGTTGGGCTTGGTGGTGTGCATTGTAGTCCCAGCTACGCAGGAGGCTGAGGTGGGAAGATTGCTGGAGCCCAGGAAGTCGAGGCTGCAGTAAGCCATGATTGTGCCACTGCACTCCAGCCTGGATGACGGAGCAAGACCCTATCTCAAAAAAAAAAAAAAAAAGCTACTTTTTCATATTTGATAAAAGGATAATAATGATTATAAGGAATATTTAACTAAGTCACCAGTTCATTTTTCTTAAACATCTGTGTTGCCCATCTTACGCTTACTGAGAATTTGTTTTACTGAGTATAAATATGTTGCTTTCATTGGTTCCTTCTTTAAAATTTCTTTTTTGTTAGACGTTAAGTTATGTGTAACATTACATTTCAGATTAAATGTTTTTATTTTTTATTTGTTTGAGACAGGTTCTTGCTCTGTCGCCCAGGCTGGAGTGCAGTAGCACAGTCATGGCTCACTGCAGCCTTGACTTCCTGGGCTCATATGATCCTCCTACCTCAGCCTCCTGAATAGCTGGGACCCACAGGTACATACCAGTATGCCCAGCTAATTTTTAAATTTTTTATAGAGACAGGGTCTAGCTATCTTGACCAGACTGGTCTTGAAGTCTCAGACTCAAGCAATCCTCCTTCCTTAGCCTCCCAAAGTGCTGAGATAACAGGTGTGAGCCACCACATCTAGCTAAATTTCAGGTTAAATGTATTTAATAGAAGAATCTATTTGGCAGTAGTTTGTTGCTACTGAATTGATAAGTTTTTTTTTTTTTTTTTAAATATTCTAGACAACCAGATGTTCCAGTATTTTATTACAGTTGTGCCAACAAAACTACATACATATAAAATATCAGCAGACACCCATCAATTTTCTGTGACAGAAAGGGTAAGTTGAATCCAACCGGTAAAATAAGTTGGTGATTTCTTTAAAAAGCATTTTAAAGTTTCCTGGCTACAAAATAAGGTGGTGTTTTACTTGCTGTCTTCCCTCATTTAAAAATCTGTGGAAGTTTTGAAATGAATTAACATTTTATTTTAAATCAGTAATATATCAGAAATGAATATTATTATATTCTAAAGCAATAAAAATAGATATTAAAAAATCTGAAATGTTTTCTATTGCATTAAGACTTAAAATTGTTAAATTGTGATGGCCTTAATTATTTTATTCTTAATGTCTTAATTTTGTAATGTGTTTTCTCATAAATTGATATAAGCAGTTCTTGATCTGGCAGCAGATTCTTTGAATTCTATGTTATTTATTTATTAAAAATGTACTACCTTTTCTGGGCATATGTGGTTATCATGGATTAGATAGCAAATTTAGAGGGTTTGCCTTCCTAAATTAATGCTTTGTATTCATCTGATTGTGATGAAGAACATTCCACTAGCTCAGAGTGGTATGGCCACATAAATAAATACTGACAATGATGAGCAAAGGTTTGGAATTGGACAGTTTAATAGATTTCTCATTTACTTTGAGGTCATGTTTTCTTATTTTTCTGTTTGAATGGTGAGTATTCAAACATTTGTATCCAAAAGAATTCTAAGGCAAAATTTAAGTGCTTTAAAATTTTTGCTTTCCTTTATACAGTGTTTTCTTTTACTAGCCTTATAACTCATGATGACCATGCTGTCAGTAATTGTGGAATTTTTTTTGTTCTTATGAGCTTAGGTATTGAAGTTTTTAGGGTTGAAGTGTCGTGTGTCTATAGCTTTTCACTTGGCATGGGGAAAGTACAAGTTCATATAACTGCATATATATGTATAGGTATGTGTGTATATACACTCACAAAGAAACTAGGTAAAGTTTATACAAGAACATATTGTGCTTTTCAACATTTCTTTAAGGAGTAGGGAGATTCCATTTCTCACCTGTAAGATTGGCAAACACCTGAAAGACAATACATACAGTTGACAAGACTTTGGGAAAAATAGGCAAACATGCAGTGCTATGGGGATGCAAAGTGGCATAATCTTTGTGGAAGGTAGTTTAGCAGCACCTGCAAAAGGACATATGCATTTACTCTTTGACTCAGCAATCGCACTTCGAGAAATCTATTCCAAAGATACAGTGGGCAAAAATATAAAAATGTGTGTTTCAGGCTATTCATTACATTGTTATCTGTAATAGTAGAAGGTTGGAAACAACCCAAATGGTACATCTACACACTGGAGGAAGATGCAATTGTTAAAAATCAAATGAGAAAGATCTCTATATACTGTGATATGAAATAGCTCCAGGATATATTTTTAAAATAACAAAACCAAAAAATATATATATATAATAGAATCCCAGGGCATTTGATTGTTGAAGGATGTGTTTATAGATAGGGTGACTGAAATAGTTTTTTAACTTAAAAAAGAATGGAGTAACTGGGTTTGGTAAAGTACACAATACGGGGTGGGAGGGAGAGAGCTGACATTAATTAGTCCTGGAACCCAAAGTGAATCATTATTAGTCGTTCATTAGGTAGATGCCCTGATCCCTAAAACAGTTTCTACCCTTATAGGTAGTGACAGTATATTTATAACTCAGCCTGGTATTGAGCATTTTAGAGCTTTAAGACATAGTCACTTTATTGGAAACTTGATCAGTTGGCTTATAAGGTTGTATTGTGCTAGTAACAGGGAGAGGGTTTTGTAATGCCCTACATAAAACTGTTTTAATTTCCCTTGGTAGTAGTTAGCTTCATTATTTGTATTCCTAAAGGTTGCAGTTTAGTTACAGCATGAGGAACATGCCATGTATTTGTAAGCTCTTGAGCTCAGTAGAAAACTTGTATCTAAGGTGATCTTTTTGAGGAAAAAAGAATGATTCTGCTCTTTTGATAGTTTCAAAAGCTAATTGCACAAAGAATACAAAATAATTTGTCTCTGAAGAGCTTAGTCTAGTAGGACAGTTCATAAGGAAATGTGGATGTCCTTCTTTTACAATAGGGCTGCAGGGCTTAATATTGAATGTATGTAAGTAACCAGATGACATGAATTCTGTTTCTTTCTTCCTCCTGTTTCTCCCCTTCCTTTTGCGTCCCTTTTAGGAGCGTATCATTAACCATGCTGCAGGCAGCCATGGAGTCTCTGGGATATTTATGAAATACGATCTCAGTTCTCTTATGGTGACAGTTACTGAGGAGCACATGCCATTCTGGCAGTTTTTTGTAAGACTCTGTGGTATTGTTGGAGGAATCTTTTCAACAACAGGTTAACAACCATTTCCTTTTTGTCTGATTTCTAAAAGTGTTGCTTACACTTAACTTGCTTCTTCTCAAAGGGGCAAGAAGTATAACAGATTTTCATGTTTTGGTATTTAAGTAGCTTTTTCTTTAATTACAAAACTCCAAAATTATATCGACTAACTAGTAAACATAACTAATTTCATTGTATTCAATGATGTAAGGTAGATTATATAATGGTGAATTAGAAAGATCCTGGGTATTAACATCAGATTGAACTAGAATTGAATGTAAGTTCTGCCGTTTACTTGGTGGTAGCCTGGAATAGATCACCTACCTTTTTTGAGGTTTTCTAATCAGTAAAAGTAGCAATAATAATATATAATTTGCAAGTGTGCTGTAGAATTAAATATGAAAATGCCTACAAGGCATTTAAGGCATTTTATACAGTATGTAAAATCATATGTTACAGTACTTTGAATTATGCAATACATGAAACTAGATTTGTAATCAGTGATGTGTTTATGATTTTTGTCCTGAATCCTGGAATAATTCGCTAAGATTATTTGTTGAATTGTAATGATGAAAATTGGGAGCTAAGTACAATACAGGAAAAGGAAACAATTCTATTTTCATCTTCAGTCCTTATTCAGTATTAGATGGAGCTGGGTAGTTTATTATACTTAGAATCATGTTTTTAAATGAATGAATAGCTTTTCTTTGGAAATTCTTTGTTAGTACTTCATTTCAATCTATTTAAATTTGTGTTGTTGACATCATTTATTTACCAAAATTGTATTGGTTTGGGAAAACCTTGAAAAGATTGTGTTTAGGCCAGGTTCAGTGGCTCACACCTATAATCCCAACACTTTGGGAGACCAAGGCTGACAGATCAACTTGAGACCAGGAGTTCCAGATCAGCCTGGCCAACATGGCAAAACCCTGTCTCCACTGAAAATACAAAAAATTAGCCAGGCATGGTAGCACATGCCTGTAATCCCAGCTACTTGGGAGGCTGAAACACAAGAATTGCTTGAGCCGGGCGGTGGAGGTTGCAGTGAGCCAAGATTGTATCCAGCCTGGGTGATGGAGCGAGACATCTCAAAAAAAAAAAAAATAATAAAAGATTGAGATTGATTGTGCTCAGATCATGAATTATGTGGCCTTGTGGTTTTGAAAAGAAATCCATTTGTTTTTAAATCTATCTTGATTATTTTTTAACCATGGAAGTGAATAATGCAAACTGCTTTATTTTCTTCCATAATCTATTCCATTATAGTTATTTATTCCTGAATAACAGTTTAGGAAATAATTAAAAGCATAAACTTATTGTTTATTACAGGCATGTTACATGGAATTGGAAAATTTATAGTTGAAATAATTTGCTGTCGTTTCAGACTTGGATCCTATAAACCTGTCAATTCTGTAAGTGGTATAGTATACATGGTGCTGATCTCTAAATCTTAGAATCATTGTTAAGTCTATGGGCTGGTCATGGTGGCTCACACCTGAAATCTCAAGATTTTGGGAGGCCGAGGCGGGAGGATTGCTTGAGTCCAGGAGTTTGAGACCAGTCAAGGCAACATAGTGAGAGCCCCATTTCTACAAAAGATAGAAAAAATCAGCTAGGCAAGGTGCTGCAAGCCTGTAGTCCCAGCTACGTGGGAGGCTGAGGTGGGAGGATCACTTGAGCCCAGGAAGTTGAGGTTGTAGTGAGCTGTGCTCGTACCCCCGCACTCCAGCCTGGGTGACAGAGCAGATCCTGCCTCAAAAAAGATGGAGAGAGAGAGAATAGTAGCTTTTCGTTCCTGGAAAGGATTGCCCAAAATAAAACCTTGTGTTTAGAGGAAAGAGTATAAGGAATAAAACTAATTCTTTGGTCTTTTTTTCCCTCCTTTTCTCTTTAGGTTCCTTTTGAGGATGGCCACACAGACAACCACTTACCTCTTTTAGAAAATAATACACATTAACACCTCCCGGGTGAAGGAGAAAAACTTTTTGCCTGAGACATAAAACCTTTTTTAATAATAAAATATTGTGCAATATATTCAAAGAAAAGGAAACACAAATAAGCAGAAAACATACTTATTTTAAAAAAGAAAAAAAGGAAAAAAAAACCCAAACTGAAATTCTATATATGTTGTGTCTGTTACAAATGTCCTAGAAGAAATCATGCAGCTAAACAGTGAAGAAACCCAACTGGAGTATTGCTTTGAAGATGACGCCTTCTTATATTTTCACAGCAAATGGGTGGTATCAGTATCAGACATTGCTTCTTGGTGATAAAAAGCCTGAAGGAAATAAGTGAAACTACATCTATGGAAAAAAAAAAACATTGAGAAGTGCAAATGTTTGCATCTTTTTGTTTTTAAAAGATATGATGTCAGAATAAAATGTGGAAAACATATGGAAAACCAGTCTAGACTTTAAAGAATTGTGGTCAGGTCACATTTTTAATAATAAAAAAAAAGAAAAACAGGGACTAGTTCCTATGTTATAGCCATATTAATGTTAAGCCATATTAACAAGACCAATTATCCAATAATTTGGTCTTAAAAAGTAACTTCTGTGAACTCTGATTATTGACTTTAACTGTTGAAGATAGATTCTTAGAAGACTAAATTCTCACAGGGGCAGGTATGCAGGTGTTATGTAGCAAAGGTATCATTCACAAATAGTATATAGAATCTTATACAGGGGAAAGAAAGCACTTTTTAAAAAAAAGATGCCAAGTTTTTAATCTAATTATATTATTGGTATATTTTGGGGGACATAGGGTGAGTTATAAAAAAGTCCACTACTGATGGTGGAAATTATCAGTTTGTAAAACATTAAGAGAAAAATAGGATATTTTATGTATGTGGTGAGTGGAGAACAGGGTAACTTTAAATGACAGTGTAAGGCAAATTTTAAGCACCACAAGATGTATCAGATCTGAGAGGTGCCATGTTAAACATTGTCCATTAAACTGTAAACCTGGATTATGAAGTATTTGCATTCAGGGCGTCCTGAATATGATTGAGTCTGTATTACATTGTGTTCTAACTTTTTTACTATTTAAGGATTGGTTCTAAATCTTCAGATTATAAAAGATTAAAAATAGAGGGAGCTATCACACAGGTACTATTAAAAGCTGTATTTGGAATATGTGTGCCAATATCAGTTTTCCTTTTGTAATACTGAATGACAGTAGAAGAATCATCAACCAATCTCCAAAGTTTAAATCATTTAAGGAAATGGGGAAAGAAAATTCCAGGTAAATAACAAGACTGAAAGATTTGATTTAAAATAGTGGTTTTAGAAAGTAGGATATCACAAGTAACAGTTTTTCAAATGAATTTTTTTCAAGATAAATGTATAAAAACAGGATAACTAAAATGGAGAGAAGGAGAAATAGTGATGGGTCTATTTTGCGGTAAAGTTTATGCAGAATGACATTTTGCAGAAAATAACAGAAGCATCATTAAAATATATATATATCATTAAGAGCCATGAAGTTAACTGATGAAAATAAGTGATACACTTTGAAAGATTTTTGCATCCAGAAAATTCTAAGTAGTGAATGAGCCTTCTCTAGGTTTTGATTTATTTTTCTGAAGATTATTTCCAACAAAGTTTGGCTGTAAACTAACAGAACATCTATCAACAGGAATCTTCATAGGAAAGAGAATTTTAGACTGATCGCTGCTCCTTCAAGTATGCTTGGAAGAAAATTCAATCGAATTTCAGGGCTTTTTCTAAATGGGAGGGAAAACAATATTGATTTAGGATTATTTTCTTTAGGATTAGATAATTTTAAGTATTAAAAAGGATTTTAAGAATTATTTTGATATATATGATTTTTAATTGTTTTCATATTTTCCAAATATCATATTAAAATTTTATCTCCTATGAAAGGAATTTCTTTAAGGCAAAATTCTGCTTTGCCATTGATTTCCATAGGTTAAAGGCTTCCATCTGAAACTCCTCAAATAGAGTCAGATTTTTGGCAGTGGAAGTATTAAAATTCCAACCAGCCCTTTGGATGATGAAGTTTACCTGCATATTAGGATTTGCTAGGAGTTTTTGGCCTCACCAAGTGTTTCTTTTCTATTGCAGAGAGCACTTTACTCACCTACCTATTATGCAACTTTCCCTATGCCTGGAGGTGCCTCCAGAAAGGATACCCTACTTTATTACCCAATTCCCCTTTTTGTTTTAGTATTCATGGCGTCTATATGTTTATATTCCAGACTACATATTTAAAAGTCTGAGACCTCAAATTATATGAAATGGATTTTTTAATACTATGTTTGCATACATTGACCTATAAAGAAGATTAAATATTTAGGGGAATAATTCCCTGCTGCAGTATTTGTACACTCCAGACTACCTCCTAGGAAAAGCTTAACTTAGTATTACAAAATTCCTTTTTTTTTTTTTTTTTTTAAGAGATGGGGTTTTGCACTGCTGCCCAGGCTGAAGTGCAGTGGCACGATCATAATTCACTGCATCCCCGAACTCCTGGGTTCAAGCGATCCTCCTCCCTCAATCTGCTGAGTAGGTAGGACGACAGCCCTGCACCAACAACCTGGCCAATTCTTTTTCATTTACATAGATAGTGTTTTGCTGTGTGGCTCAGGCTGGACTCCAACTCCCGGACCCAGTAATCTTCCCACCTTAGTCTCCTGCATTGCTGGGATTATAGGCATGAGCCACTGCACCTGGCACCCAAGTTACTTCTAGTTCTCAAGTTAGATGATTAATATCACACTTTTCTCACATGTTTTATGATAGCATTGAATTTTTATAATTTACTAATCAAGATTTACAGTCTTTAATACAATCTTAATTTTAGAATTTGTAAAGGAATGACTAAGATCTAATTTTTTTTTTTTTTTTTTTTTTTTTTTTAAACTGAGTCTTGCTCTGGTCTAGGCTGGAGTGCAGTGGTGCAATCTCAGCTCACTGCAACCTCCGCCTCCTGGGTTCAAGTAATTCTGCCTCAGCCTCTCAGCACCGGTAGCTGGGACTACAGGTGCATACCACCAAGCCCAGCTAATTTTTTTGTATTTTTAGTAGAGACCGGGATTCACTGTGTTAGCCAGGATGGTCTCGATCTCCTGACCTCATGATCCGCCAGCCTTGGCCTCCCAAAGTGCTGGGATTACAGGCATGCGCCACTGCACCCGGACAGATCTAATTTTTTAATAGTGTAAGAGAGATACACTGTGCATTCCATCTATGTCCTGAATAATTCAAGTACCAAAAAGTAATTTAATACGAAACTCCTTGAAAATTCAGAGCTTACACTTGAATTCGAGATGCCTATTTTTGGTTGTTTAAAAGTTACTTAAACCTGAGCCTTAGGACCTTTAAAATCTCAGCATGCCTCTTAACCTAGTACTTTTCCTGTTTTGAGCTCTAGCAAACCTTCAGCAAGCCAAGGTGGTAGGTAGCCCTTTTTCAACACTATCAAATAGAGAGGTCACCAGTTGTTGACTACCTTATGGTAAAATGCCCGGATCAAGATCCATGTATCTGCCCATATTGTGATGATGCAATCAAAGCATAGTTTTTTTCTACTTTCTGAAATATTTATTTGATAAAATCACTTTACATTTAAGAGTAGAAAACAGACTGCCTTGGATTTTTTTTTCAACTATTGAAAATACTGAAATCTTTTTTAGAACTTTTCTTTGTGTGTGTGTCTTGAGAGAAAAGAGAACATAAAATACTTAGTGTTGCAAGCACAAACGTTTGGACTCAATAAATGACAAACTATGAAGCATTTTTTTTGTCTTTTTAATACTAGGAGAAAATGTACCCCCAAATAAGCCTCAGTTCCCATATTTAAACTTCTTTTCTCATAGAAAAGCTATAGGAATTTTAAAATATCACGTTTACATTTGCTTTTCTTCCAGATGGAGCTAAATTTCTATATGATACAGGGTTTATTTTATATTTCTCATATTAAAGATGAAAAAGTGAAAATCGAGTAGTTGACTCGATTTTACATGTATAAATATGTGAACAGTTGAATACAAACAAGATTACAAGCAGTGAAACATTTAAATAGTTTTGGCAACTCCAAATAATATTTTGTGTTTCCCAAAAGGAATTAGGTTAACTTTTCCAAATATAACTCGTTTTATACTATTATAATAAGGAAAAACTATTAAGGATGAGAAGGCATGAGATAAAGTATACATTAGTGAAAGCTATATACTAAAGCAGACCTTCAACAATAGCTCATAACTAATAAATACTTTGTATTTTGTTTTCAAACAGTTATGTAAATCAATTTGGTGACTTCTTATACTGTACTGACATTTACTTTCTTTAAGGTGTTTTTCTGGAATTGACTCAAATTGCCATATCACATCTGCTATTCCTTTTGCAGTTCCAGGTTGGAATCCATATTTCAAATAAAGTAGGGACACATCTAAAATATTTGTGTATCAGAAAAGGTGTTTCTGGCTATTTAAACTCAAGTTAAGCATCCTTTGCCACAGTAGTATCTCCACTTTGCAGGGCACTACTGTCTCTCAAACCAGTTCCATTTGAAAACCAGCAATTAGTAGTCTTAGTTAACTAAAAAAATGTTTTAAGTGATCTAGGCAGTGAGCATTTTTCCACACCTTTATGTGGGATTATGAGAATTGTTACTTCTTACTATAGGCGATTGCTTATGTTCCCAGACATTATTAGAACAGCAGTTCTAGAAGAGTAGCCATGTGGAAATTTATAAGTGATTTTTGTAAGCTTTGAAAATTATTGATGTTTTTGGAAACTAGACCGATCTACTTGAATTGTTTATGTTTATTGTAATATAACATGCTATTTGGGCATTATTAGACCAGTCTCTACCTTGAGATACTAAGTTAATTAAATGAGGTGTTAAGTGGAAGTAATGATGTTAGTTGAAAATTGCAAGAAGTGTTTCTGTGAATTGTGTGCCCATTTGCCTCAACCTTTTCTAGTATTAGTTGCCTCAGGCAGTGACTCTTCAACTCTAATACTTGATACTGTATCAGGTATCTTGTGGGTAGAGAATATAGGGATTGCCAGAATTTCTTTTGAAACATAGGTACCTTTTCTTTGTACTTTCCATCCTCTTTTTCCCCTACATAGAAGGTTCTTTCCCATTGCTTTGTTTATATTAGGCATTCAAGTAATTGCGAATTGGTCTTGATGTGAAATAGTTATATGCTAGAGATTGCCCTTCATACAGGTACCTGTTTTTACTGCCTAATCATCACAAAAGAACTTTGTGTCATTTATCTGATGCCACAAATAGAAGAATACTCATGTCAAAATAACCCTATTAATGGTGTTAGAAAAAGTGAAGCATTATGTACCTATAGGTTAATTTATATTCATC